TAACCCTAACCCTAACCCTAACCCTAACCCTAACCCTAACCCTAACCCTAACCCTAACCCTAACCCTAACCCTAACCCTAACCCTAACCCTTGGCAGGGAAAAAAGCGACGTCAACGCCCATTGTGCGCCGCCACCGCCCCACGGCCTAGGGCTAGGATTGACGGGCTTGCACAGCTTCAGGCCTTCAGGATCCTGGAACAGATTACTGAGGTGGGCAGTGGTTGGCTTGTGATCAGGCTGCTGAAAAAACATCAACTGCATGAACCATGAGAGGGTCAGTTTGCTGGTGAATTGGAACTGGGACAAACTGTACCAAGAGATGTATTGACAGTTGTGCATCTGCTCTGCAAGCATGTGCTGAAGTGTAGGCGTGGTTTTGAAGAGCTTTTTGAAGGCCCCATCCTGGTAGGGTGCCTGGATCTTGGATTGCGCTGAGGAAGCACTGGGTTGGTTTTGTCCTCAAACTACTTGATCCAGGCCTTCTTTGATTGTCTTGAGCAGAATCACACCCAATTTGTACACATCAAGGTAGCCTGACTCAAAGCTCAAGACTCAAGGCCCAAGACTCAAATTTCAACACTCAAAACTCAAAGAGACGCGCAAAACTCAAAAGCGGACGTAGCCGATTTTGCGGTTGGACCCTGAATTTGGTTTCTTCTTGACCGCCTCTTCGGGTTGTCGTCAACACACCACCTGCTCGATCAGGGCCTTCGCGCCAGCATCAACCGCTTGGACGCTGCACGCGCGTGCATGGATCCGATACAGCCAGGATCGAGAGGAGCGGCGCGCCTCCTCGTCAATGGCAGCCGCTCTCACGATGGCGCGGACGTCGGCACAGCCCTGATCACGTCGCAAGAATGGTTCTTTCCAGTCGAACAAGCGTCTTCTACCCCTACCTTCTCACTCTCGAGCATCGACACGCAGGCCGGACCGTCGACGTGTGCAAAGCTCGCCCCTGCCTCGATTCCACGATCTTCCAACCGACTCGGTCTTTATCCCCACGACAAAGCGGAAGCTGGCTCTTCCGTCGACGCCGACGTTCTTTCGGCTCAGCGATTCTTGCGACATTGCTATCCCGACATCGACATCCCGGATCATCTTGTGTCTCGAATCATCTACGACGACGCGCTGGAACTCGATAACACGGCTCACGAGCTCGATGGCTCTCTCGGACTCGCGGATGCTCAGGCCATCGCGCTCTTGGGCCCGGTTACCATCGAGCAGGAGCCGACCTACGCCGTCGCATGTGTTGGCGGATCGAATCGCGACTGTCTTTTGCTTCATCAGCTTACCTTGGAAGCAGATAACGACGTGATCTTCGACGCATGTGATGAGAGCAAGGCGGACACAGCACAAGGCAAGGGCAAGGCGAAAGCGAAGGACCCCGTCAGGCTGCGCTTCCAGCCCGCTCTCAGTGCCGAACGCAAGTTTCAGACGCCCATACTTCAAGTTGTCAGCTCGGCAGATCAGAGCATCCTCGCCGTTCGCACGCACAGTAGCACCAGCTTCCTCTCGCTCCGCCAGGTGAAAGAGTCCGACAGCACGCCTCGGCTGCATCTCGAGACTGTTTATCAAACGCGCTACGGCACGGACGGCAGCGCGCAGCATCAGGACATCTCCTTCAGCCGCACAGCCTCTGCCATCGAGGCTGCGACGGTCGACAGATACGGCAACATCGACTTGTTTCGCTTTGCAGCAGAAGACGCAGACGCAGAGCAGAGCGAGCACAGGCCGGATCAAAGGACTTCAGGCTCTTCAGCAGCAACCCCCACTCAGGTCAGAGCCAAACGCCGACAAAGTTTCCCAGCAGCATCTCCCTCTCCAGCATTGGCGTCTCGACCCTCACAGATCACGGCGCGGAAACGGCGCGTTGCCATCGATCTCGCCAGTCTCGCCGACACGGATGCTCGGGAGGACGCTGATGCAGTCGCCGACGCCGACGATGCAGCAGCGGAGGATGCACAGGCTTCCAATCAAGCGCCCTTTCGGATTGTCTTTGGCTCAATGCCACGCGAGCTCTACCTTTCCACTCGGCATGCTCTAGTTCGGATCAATCTCGGCAGCCAAGACGCCGACACAGAAGGCGGATCTGCACCTCAAGTCCACGTTGTCCTTCGCTCCAGCCTCTGTCTGTCTTCGTTTAAGCGCGAGAGATTCTTTTCGATGGCCACGACCGAGAGGGATTTGCAACATCAACTTTTGGCGGTGTGCTCATCCGACGCGATCCATTGGTTCGACCTGAAGGACCCAGCCCAGCTGCTCTTCTCCACGGCACACCATCGGGGAGATGATCCGACGCTTTTCCTCTCCGTACTGCCGACCGGCCGAGGCACGGTATCTGGCTCCGCGCAGAACGACGACGGCATTACGGTGTGGACGCTATCTTCGAAGCGCAACGACGCGGTGACGTGCTATGCAGTCCGTGCTCACTCGCGCGAAGGGCGAGGGTACGACCTCTTGCAAGCGGATACAGCTATGGACAGCAGCGGGACCCGTGTTCGTTACACGCTTGACAGCGCACCGGTCATTCTTCCGACCGATATACCCTCGTCGCGGTCTTTGGGTACACGAGCGGCCCCGATGCTATTCATCAATGTGGCAGCACTTCTGCAGCGCGACCACCCGCCAGAATCGTGGATCAGTCTCAGACTCGATGAGGGTGGCGCTTTGTCCGCTCAGATGCTCCAAGCCAGCTTTGATCCACCTTCAGACACCTCGGGACAAGCTGAGGTCAACGTGGCATTGCATGTCATGGGGCCTCCCTTCGGCAGCGACCTATACCTAGATGACGCAAGGGACCCGCAGCCAATACGCGGGATGGTCGACTCTCTCAGCGAAGTCAAGACAAAGCATCTCGATCTCCGAAATGTGCACCACGCCGTCTTTGCTTCCAAGTGCGGAGACACTAGGAGTGGCAGGCGCAGCGACGCGAGTGGTGGTGAAGATGTCGTGACATCACATCTCCGAGATCTGCTCAATCGTACAAGCAAAAGCAACCCAGGCAGCACTGCAACAATGCTTTCTTTCGGCCACATTCTTCGTGACTTGGACGACGGGTCGTTAACACATATCGACAACGACGAGGGAGAGGCTCGGAATCAGGCAAAAGACGTACTGGATTTGCGACATGACTGCCGGCATGCCCTGTCTTCGTTGGCTCTATCGACTGCACAGGCGCGTTGGACTCGTGCCACCGCAGGGTTGGTGCATCACGATGGCAATCTTGGTCCTGCAATCGAGTCGCACGTCGATGTCATCGAGCGCACCTTGAAGCGCGAGTCCGGTCGCTTGGACGACGCTATGACCTCGTATCTTCCGACCAAGAAGACAGCGCAAACCTGGAGCGCGAAAGCGCGACGCGAGGCACGGGCGTCCTTGAAGAAGGCTGCTAGGGAGATGATGTTGGACCTGGTGCTCGAGTCCGAAGTCTTTGTCCGGCCTAGAGCTCGAATTCTCGACACAGGCGCGCCGACGCAACGACCGCAGGAGCGACGAGGCACCAACTGGACCGCTCTCGAGTATCGCGACATCTACAACTTCGTCGAAGAGCAAGGCGAGACCATCCCTCCGCCTCACATTGGCAGTGTCGGACTTTCCTTCTTTGCGCCGATGCGCAGTGCAGACGTCGAAAAGGAGGCAGCTGAGCTCGCCAAGGGTCGAAACGGCTCAACGGCAAAGCTGAGTGAGATAGAGCTCGAGGCGCTGCTTCCGAGCACATCTTCTACAGCTCGACTGCTCTTGTCCGAGTGGCAGCTAAGCGAGGATCCCACCGAGTACAAGTATACTGATCCATTTGAAGGTCTGCATCGGCTGCCGCGTGCAAGTCGACTGCGAGGGCCCACAGCACGTGCGCGATCAAGGTCCTTCTCCCGCGCATCGAGCGCATCGACTGAAGACCGGTCAAGAAGTCGCAGCCGCAATCGCAAGCAGTCGGCCGCTCCATCGATGTCTCAATCTGGCGTGTACGATTCGCAGCCACCCTCGTCGTCCTACCCTGCATCCTTGGCCTCGCACAGCCAGTTTGACAGTGCCGCCTCGCCTGCACCTCCAACGCTTGTCTCCCGGCGCAAACGTCCACGCGATAACCCAATCTCTCGATCCCAGCCCGTGCGTGCCCCCATGCAAGGATTCGAGTCGCCGCGACCCAATGCAAGAGATTCTCGCGGAGCATCAGAAGCGGCACAGTCTCAACCAGCAGCGATCCCAAGATTCGGCTTTGCGGGCAGCTTCGGCGATCTCACGCCCACAGTGTCCCCCGCATCTTCGCAGGTTGGCACGCCCACTCGGTCTCACTTTACTACGGGAGCGGCATCGACGCAGATCGAGGCGGGTCGGTTCGGCGCTCGCCCTGCTGCGGCGGTGGAACGCCCGCCAAAGAAGAAGAAGCGAGCAAGTGGATTCTAGGTGCTCAGACGGAAGACACGACAGCAGGTTGACGAAGGGTATCACTTCCATGTCCAATCCATGCAAATCTCGCGAGAACGATCCGGTGTGATGTGAGGGAGATCCGCGATCGGAGGTGAAGGAATGTGTGCTTTATGTCTATCCTCGCTGAGTCAAATGACCAGCTTGGCCCTTGGGATTGTAGTCCAAATGAATGTAGGAGCGCTCGACGCCGCTGATGTTCTCGGTGCAGTAGGTGATGATCTCGCCCAAGTCGTGGGACTCTTTGAGCGAGATCGAGTGAGGCAGCACAATGTCAGCCTCGACGATCAAGTTGTCACCAGAGTGGAAGAGTTCGAAAGCCGAGACGCTGTTGACCGAGTTGAAGCGCACCACACAGTAGAGGCACTTGGAGATCTCGGTGGACGAGGCGACCGCGCCGGACAGCTTGGAGACGGTCTCCCACAGCGTCTCGATCCATTCGTAGATGATGTAGACCGACAGGACGACACCGCCGATGGGATCGAGGGCGGGCCAGCCGAGCTTGGAGCCGACGATGGGGAAGATGAGCGAGGCAATGTTGAAGACGACGTCGTTCTCTGCGTCCTGCGCTACAGCCCGGACTCCGGACGACTTGGAGGAGCGGTAGAGGAGCCACATGACAGTCTTGATACCGATGGTAGCGAGCATGAAGGCGACGCCGATGAAGGGCAGGCTAGCAGCTGACTCGGGGTCCTGCTTTCCGGTCGAAAGCACTTCGCGAAGGCGAGTGGCGGACTCGATAAAGACCTGGACAAAGGAGGCAATCATGAGCACCGAGAAGATGACCACACCGAGCGGCTCGAGACGCTGCTTGCCGACGGGATACTTGTACATGGTCCTCCAAGAACGATATGCGATGGCTTTGGAGGTGGCAAAGATGATGATGGTGGACAAAAGATCCAAAGCACTGTCGACAAAGGATGCGATGAGCGAGACCGAGTTGGAGGAAAGAACGGCGAATCCCTTTCCAGCGAGCAGGAGGATGTTGATGATGAGATTGATGTTGATGGCGAATTGCACTGAGCGCGAGAGTTCTTCTTCCTTCGCGCGGTTGGGCACGGTGCTGAGCAGCGCTTGCCTCTCTTCCTCCTGTGAAACGTAAGGACGATGTCGACGCTCACGGCTGTATTCGCGGTCGAGACTGCCCTTGTCGATCCAGGTCTGCACCAATTTGCCTCCTTCTTGTTGGCTGTGATTCGAGAGCGTATGCGATTGGTGCTCGGGGATGTTCTCAACCTGATTCGGGCGAATGGTGTTGGCGGTCGAACTGGGCGCCGAGATGCCTTCGCGAGGAGTCTGGGTGCCATTGGCGTGAGTTGGCGTGCTTGCTCCCGACGCAAGAGCGATTTGAGACTCGGAGCGGCGAATCTGCTCGATGCGCCCTTCGCGTCGGAGCTTGTCGTAAAGCTGACCAGCGCTAGAGGCCGAAGTTGCGCCATAGTCGCGGCGTACATCAGACTGACGACTTTCGATCATGCCAGAGGGCGAGCTCGAAAGCGGTTGTCGAGACGTACCGCCGGCCTGGTCGTCCTCGTCCTCATCTTCCTCGGTAAGATCAAATGCTCTTCCCTTTGGTTTTCGACGATCCTGACCGTGGGAACGGGAAGCGCCATTGCTCTCGAGATCGGGCCTGTGCGATGCGCGTGGGCTTCCTGAACCGCCGAACCAGAGACCGCTGAAGGCGTTGATAGCTTTGGCGCTAAAGCTGCGTTTGAGCGGACGCTTATTCCTGCCTCGAGTCTCCTCTTCGTCAGTCTCTTCTTCGTCGGATATGTTCCCGTCGCTCTCAACAGCCTGTGTCTGCTGCTGCTGCTGCTGCTGCTGCTGCTTGTTGCGTCGTTTCTTGGCTTTGTGCCCTGGCTTGGGACGGTGCTTCTTTTTGTCGCGGGTCTCGTCCTGCTGGCTGAACCTTCGCATGACTTCTTCGGGAAAGCGAGAGTCGAGAATCTCGTCGATCTCCCTCCAGCCATCGAGAATGTCATTGAGACGTTCGTAGTATTCAGAGACGGCCGAGGCCTTGGACCAGCCGAGATGCCTGGTACGGTGCTTGATCTCTTCTTCGCTGACACGGTGATCTTCGTAGTAGTTAGAGCGATAGTCGACAAGATTGGCAAGGACCGAGATGTTTCGCACAGACTCAGCTCTGTCTGGGAAGCCGTGGCCGTGTTTGCTGATCATGGCCTTGTAGCTGTAGGCGGAGGAAGAAGGGAAACCATGCGCAGGAGCTGCGATGCCGAAGGAGCTGGATCTGTGAGCGCTGTCGTTGAAGGAGCTGGAATAGCGATTGTCGGCGCCTTCGCCTTCTGAGCTCTCGTCTTCGCCCTGACCATCAGCATTGATTTGGAAGCGCTTGGAGCTGATGCTGTCGATGGATGTGTTTGGTTCATGGTCGGGAGGGCCTGGATGGAAGCGGACAGAGGAGGAGAGCGGTGCCGACTGGCCATTGGAGGAGAAGGGAGCTTTGCGCTGTGCGGATGGCGCATCGATGGGCTTGCTCATGGTGGGCGGCGATCCGGGGAGGGGTGGGTATACAGCTCCCCGTGAAAGGGAAGCAGGGCAGGTGGTGGTGATGAGGTTAGAATGGCGACGGCACTCTTCCTTCCATCATGAATGGGTGTGGGGGGGTTCGTGCCTTGTTGGTCGATGCAGTTCCAGGAACGTGCTGCTCGACGATCAAGCACAACGTCAGTCTGAGCTTTTTTCCAAGAGATTTGGCCGGCAGCATTCAAAAACAAGCGAGCGAGCGAGCAGGCTATCTAATCGCTCGCTGCCTTCTGGAAGCTTGAAATATGAATGCTGTTTCTGCAGCAGCAAACAGCAGCAGCGTTCCGAAAGCTTGGCGCAGTGGGCGGAGAGGGCTTCCTGCGGGCTGCGAGCGAGCCCCTGTGCCTCTCGCACGGGCGTATTTGAGCCCAAACTTGGATTTGACTGAGCTGCAGGTGGAGTTTTGGCTGCCTTTGCCTGGGACTGCCTGCAGCTGGACGAGGCTCTCAGGGTTTGCTGGACGCGCCTTTTGAAAATGCACGCAAGCAACAGTCAGAAGACAAACACTTGGAGACCCTGAAGTCACAATCATCAACGTCGGTGTCGACTCTGAAGACAGCTGTCCTCGTGATCACACCTTCCCACGCTAGTCATCCGATACGGGAGCATACCGACAGCTCTATACAGTCACCTGCCCACTGTAACAGCCGCGCCACTCAGCATCGGATCGCGCTCCGACATCGTATCGCTTCGTACGAGACAAGAACCAACGTCAACAGTCAGCCGCGAGAGCTGCTTGGGCCGACACGTCGACAGCCATCGCAGCTTGGCAAGAACCGATCACCTCCTCGAAACCTGTTTGAGGGCAGCTGCGCACCTCTTTGATAGCTCTCACGTTCTGCCACCACGCAGGCGTCGACAGCTTCGAGGTCCGTCATGGTGGCCACATCAGGGTCGCTCGTGCCGCTGCCAACACCGACCATCGACTCTGTTGCCAATGTCTGGTTTCAGCGCCGGGGCGAGACACAGTGTCGCCGAGGATCTCTCACCATCACGGCGCACCATCTCGTCTTCGAACACAAGTCGTCGTCGACGTCCGAACCATCGACACGGCGTCTGTCGATTCCACTTTCGCTCATCCTAAAGGCAACTCGCATTCCTTCATTACGCTTCTCCACGCAGGCAGGCTCGCCCTCGCAACGCATCTATCCCATCACACTCTTCTACAAGACCTTTGACTCGGCTGCATTTGCATTCCATGCAGAGCACGACCAGCTCGCGATCTTTGAAAGCCTTAAAGAGTGCGCCATCCTCACAGATATTTCGCAGCTCTACGCTTTCTACTATCAGCCATCATCCAGCGCGGGTCCATCTCAGCAAGATCTCTCTCGCGTATATGACCCAAAGACAGAGTTCGCACGTCAAGGCATCGGCGCTCGCTCCAAAGCTTGGCGCTTCACCGACATCAACGCACAGTATGCGTTCTGCGCCTCCTACCCGTCCCTGATGGCAGTCCCGTCGCGCATCAGCGACACCACTCTCAGCTATGCAGCAAAGTATCGCAGCAAGGCCCGCATCCCTGCCCTCACATATCTGCACTGGGCCAATCACGCCTCCATAACACGCTCCAGTCAGCCCATGGTCGGTCTCAAGAATGCACGCTCCATTCAAGACGAGAAGCTCATCGAGGCCATCTTCACCTCGCACAACTTTGCCGATCCTGAATCCATCACCGCCAAAGCAGTCGCGGATGCGTCCAACGGTGCAGCTTCTGCTGCTTCTGGCGCCGCTGCCGTGGCCACCGTCTATGGGGCCACCACCACGAACCTCATCGTTGATGCACGCCCTACCACCAACGCCATGGCGAACGTAGCAAAAGGCGCAGGCACCGAGAACATGGAGTACTATAAAGGTTGCAAAAAGTCGTATCTCGGCATCGACAACATTCACGTCATGCGGGACAGCCTCTCCAAGCTCACCGACGCTCTTCGTGAGAGCGAGCCGATCGCCACTTTCGGCATGCGTGTCGAAGCTCTCGGTGATACGGCTGCCACAGATGTCGTCACAGATGGATCCGGGTCTGTGCTGCGCCTTCATCCCACCCCAGTCGACTCGAACGCCCTTCGCAAGTCCATGTGGCTCAAACACATCCAATCGCTCATGGAAGGATCCATGTCCATCGTGCGCAATGTTCACATCAACAGCTCGCACGTTCTGATCCATTGCTCGGATGGTTGGGATCGCACATCCCAGCTCGCCGCCATTGCGCAGATCTGCCTCGATCCCTACTTCCGTACTTTCGACGGTCTCGCTGTGCTGATTGAAAAGGACTGGCTCAGCTTCGGTCACAAGTTTACCGATCGCGGCGGTCTCAAAGGCTCTGACCGCTACTTTACCGTGGCTTCTAAGCAAGCATACGGCAACCTGAACGAGGACGAGGACGATGGCTACGGTACGGATCCCGAATTGGACAAGGCCAGCTCGAACCCTGCTGGCGGCGGTTTCGACGGTCAAGCTGCTGCAAATGCCTTCTGGGGCTTCACCAAGCAGCTCACTGCTAATTTCTCGGCCGCCACCTCGGGTGCTCCCGCCGGACCCAAGAAGGGCTCTAACATCAAAGAGACCTCGCCCGTCTTCCACCAATTCCTCGATTGCATGTGGCAGATCATGCGTCAGTTCCCAGAGCGCTTCGAGTACAATGCAGCATACCTCGTCGAGTTGCACCAAGCCCTCCATGAGTGCAAGTACGGCACCTTCCTCATGGACTGCGAACGAGAGCGTAGCAGGCCGCAAGATCACGAAGGCAGAGTACTTCCCGCTCTCTCGACTCGCACCGTGAGTGCGTGGACGGACTTGCTCCATTCAGAGACGAAGCTCAGGCATCGCAATCCACGCTACCAACCGGCCCTCGATGATCGCGACCCGAAACGCAAGGGGACGGACATGGGTGTGCTCATCGCCGACTCCCGCGACGTGCGCTACTTCGAGCAGCTCTTCCAACGCGCGTCGGGTGACATGAACGCTGCTCTCGACAAGGAAGCCGACGAGAGGCGGCGCGCCAAGGAAAGACTCGAGAGGGCAGTGCGCGGCGATGTTGCAGCAGCCTCGACCGATGCTCTAGGAGAGCAATCAGGAGCAGCCGCTGCAGTCAAAGTGCCGGGAGGCGGCGAGTTGGAGACAGCAGATGCGGCGATTGCTGTTGTTGGTCCAAACGATCCCGATCCGGTTCTCAACCCTCTAGCCGCGGCCGCAGCAGGCTCGACAGCACCAACCGCAAATCAGGGTCTTGCGACTTCTCCAGCGCCGGGTGCCGTCGACCTGGCCACCAACGGTCAGATTGACCCAGCGCGGCTCCAATACCAAGCAAGACAACCGCGCACTCGTGCTCAGCCGACTGCAGGTGCCGCATCTTCGCTTTCGGCAAATGACTCTGCGGCGGCAATGGCAAACGTGTCGAATGCTGCCGACGCTGCTGCCAATCGCATGAAGAATCTCTTCATCGGCGGCTGGGGACGGCTGCAGGAGGCTATGGCGGCACCTGCATCAGAGGGAGGGCTATCCTCCAGCGACTCTGGACGGTCAACGCCCCAACCTCCAAGCCCGACAAAGGCGAGCGGCGGGTCAGCGCCACTTCAGGCTGCGGCATCGAATCCACTCGGTGTCAGTGGCGACCCGAGAAGTCAACCCTACGCAAATACAGCGCCGGCACCTTCTGTGCATGCTGTGCACAATCCGTGGGCGACCAGATCGGGCATGCGTGCCGAGATGCAGCGCGAGCACGTGGCGATGCGTGCGCATCAAGCCAACCTTGCCCGTCCAGGTTTTGGACCTGAACATCGGCAGCAAAGCTGGACAGGAACCACGCATGCGAGCAGCGGAGCGAGTTTGGGGCTCGGGCCGACCGAGAGGAAGGAGGAGAGCAAGCAGAGCACCAGCAGCGCAGCCATGTCGGATCCGCTGGGTGTTCTATGAGCGTGAGCATTCAGTGTGTGCAGTCGCGAAGGCGTATCGACCTAGATGTCCGCGACAATCATATCATATCAGCATTCGTTCCGTGTCTGCGAAGTTGGCCTGGTCTGTGGTCCGTAAGAAATGCTGCTGTTCGCGAGCAAGAAGCCATATGTACAATCGCAAGTCGGAAGTGAAAGGAACCGTGACTGAAGCCGAGATGCTCAGAAGAGCTTGTTGTACAGGATGAGAAGAATCAAGAGGACGAGGCAGACGATGATCCCTACGGTAACCAATTTTTGCTGTTTGGCCCTGCAGCGCAGAAGGTAAAGATGAAGGGTGAGGTCAGTCAGGCGCGTTGATGGGGAACCAGACAGAGGAAACTCGTTAACACGTACCGTCGGATCATCTTGGACAGTGTCTTGGATGAACGATCGATGCTCTGATCCGCCTCTCGTAGCTGTGAGAGCAAGACAATGGGTCGGAATGAGAATCAGCACGCCGTAACTTGGCTCCAGCCCCAACGAGGTGCACTTACCGTGTCTCTTGAGTTCTCGATCTGCTCCCTTTGGCTCCTCAAGTCGCGCAGGATATCAGCACCAAGGTCCTCAGTCTCCAAAGCAAGCCTGTTGGACTCCTCCAACCTCCTCGTTCCGTCCTCGAGGGATGCAGTGCCTTGCAACAACCTCTGACGATTCGCCGTCGCAGAGTCAGCGGCTTCGAGATCGTCGTCGTCGTCCGCATATGCTGCATTGAATCCGCCCCGTCCGCCACCTGAAGACAGACCTGATCGCACCTCCTTGTTGAGATTCTGCACCTCTTGTCTGAAGCCCCGAATCTGTACCGAGTAGCGTGACCGCACTGATTGTGGAAAGCCTTGCACTTCGATATCCATCTGCGAGATCACTTCTTCGGCCTCTTCGAGCTCCATCTCTGCGCGTCGCAGCGTCGACTTCTTTGCTTCGCCATTCTGCGATTTGGCCTGGTCGAGCTTCTGACGGATGCCCTCCTTGAGCTGCTGGAGATCCGAGGCGTAGCTGTCGAAGAGTTCGGACATGACTGCGGTGTAGTGTTGAGTGTGGAAGCTGCTATGATCTCGAATGTGTCCCTAGGGGTGGATGGGTGTGATTGTGTCGCAATGGCTGAGAGCGCGGAGGATGTAGAGAGGTGTCAAGATGATGGTCATGGCCAACCCTCACGGGATGCATGCATGCACGCACGTTCAATCTTTAGGGCTCGGCTGACTGCCTTTGCTCCACACCTCTCTCTGAGACCGCGCGCTGCTGCCCGCGTGAAATTTGGGGCCTCGGTCATCTGGTCCCGATCGAGCAGCCGAGTATTTTTCTCGTAAATTTGTTAAGCCGACTTATGCTGTTGAAAGCAAAATATTTGCTAGGCCTCCACCACGTCCTCGGCTGCTCCGCGGATCAAGCGCTCGATCTGGTGATGTGGCTTTTGTGTACCTGTTTTGCACGATGGAGGCACCGCCTTTGCGGCATCGATGACGCGTAGCACCGCGCATCTTTGCATCTCTGCGATACGCCCGCATGGCAGCGCTCTGCTTCTTCTCGGGAAGAATTTGATGTTCTCTCTGCTGGCGTAGAGCCGGATAGCCGCCGGAATTGCATGTGCTTGCCAGGCATTCTCATCCGCGGATGCAAAAAGCGCGATTGTGATTGCCAAACGATTGGCAGCGGCTTGAGATGCTGACTGATGCGTGGCGTGAAACTTGTCGACGGAATGCTTGCCAAACATGCCGTATCTGCTCAGCATAGGCGCTCCGGAAGATAGTAACCTAAGACAGATCAAGGGTGAACAAAGAGCCTCTTACGGAAGCGAGGCTCGACCCTGAGTCCTTGGAAAGTTACACCAGCAACAGACCCTGATTGAACACGTTTCGTGCCGAGTTGCATGTCCGCCCGTTGTGAACGTCTTGAACGTGCTCGTCCTTCTTGTGATCTCTGATCGACGTCCCTTGATCCTTCCATCCCTCGGACCACCACCTCGACCGACTGACTTCAAATCGGTCAGCCCGCGACATTAGGGCGCCCCTCCGAGAATCCTGTAGACAAGTACTCGTCGGCAGACGCGAAGCTCACCCCGACGGATTCGGCAAGGGCGATATCGAATGCTCAGAGCGACCCTGACTCTCGGTCGTCCATCTCGAGTGTTCTCTTGCTACAAGACCAAGACTGAATCACTCCTTGCCTCTATCAGTCACTTGCGCCACCAGCATCGGCTCGTCCGAACGCTTGCTCATCAAGCGCCTGCACTCAAGATGCAGTCGCAATCCGCTGCCGACAAGCTGTCGTCCGGCGTTGCCGCACCTGAGCTTTCCGCACAACAACAGAGACGCCAGGCATCGGTGCTGACATCACAGACGGCACCTACTTCGCCTGCACTCCGCCCAACGACGCTCAAGGCAGAGGCTGCTGCAGCGTTGCCATCCTCTTCATCCGACTCGGCCCTTGCTTCGTCCGAGAAGGCGTCGGCAGTGGCCGAGACGGCATCGTACGTCGCTCCACCCATCCCTTCCAGCTTCAAAACTTCGTTCGCTGCATGGTGGAAAGCAAATCCGGTGCAAGACGCCGCCGAAGCTGAGCTGCATCTGTACCGCTCCACTGGCTACTTTGAAGGTGCTTCGGTCAACAATGTCATCTGCGAGAACGAGGTGCTACGCGATGGCAAGGGGCTGGCGCACGGTCTAGAATGGGCACGCCGAGCTGGCGCTGCTACCACCAATGACACTGTGCCACCGGCAACGGCGACGGCTACCTCTTCTTCTATGGGTTCTTTCTTCCAGTCGCCCAAATTCTGGCCGTTCCAGCGCAGCAAGGAGCCTTCGACTATGACAATCGGCCTCACGCCGGCTGCTGACGGCAAGGTAGGCTGCATTCGTCTCGTCGATCTGGGTGGCAATGTAGCAAACAGCCCTTCCTCTGCCCGCAAGAGCCTGCCTGGTTCGGCATCTTCCTCGCTCGCTGGCTCTCCCGCAGTCAGACCAGCTGCCGAAAGTGGACTGCCTGTCCTCGGCGATGCCAATCTAGACGGACCAGCGATCAACGATAATCTCGAGCTGACCCCAACACCAGAAGCCGGTGTCAAGCCGTACACGCCTCCATCAGGACGCAAGATCAATATGCTCGAGATCGGCATCCCCTACTCGAAGGAGAAGGAGCAAGAGATCAAGAACGAGACCAAGATTGTGTTGGCGCACGGCTATGGTGCCGGCAGCGCCTTCTTCTTCCAGAACATCGAGTCAATGGCCAAAGTCCCCAACTCGCGACTGTACGTGCTTGACTGGCTAGGAATGGGTCGATCCTCGCGCCCCACCTTCCACATCCCGTCGAGCGAGACCAAGAACACCGATACGCGTGTAGCAGCTGCAGAGAGCTTCTTCATCAGCAGTCTGGAGGATTGGCGAAGCAAAATGGGTCTCGAAAAGATGGTGCTGGTGGGGCACAGTCTGGGCGGCTACTTGTCGCTTGCATATGCTCTTCGGTATCCTTCGCGCGTCGAGAGACTGGTGCTGGTGAGCCCAGTTGGTATACCGACGGCGCCGCCTGAGGATGAAGTCTCGAATGGCGGCACGTTCGCGCCCAAGAACCGATCGGCTGTGGAGCAAGAAGTCAAGCAGCCGCAAGAGAACATTGCACCACAATCGACCAAACAGGAGATGAAAGACGAGCGTACCGCTAATGACATGGTCAAGAAAGCAGCGCAGAACCGCGCAGGTGGCATCATCGAAGGCAACAGCAACAGCGCATCCTCGGCCACCCAGCCCTTGGCGCGCTCCGAGACGACTCAGACGGTCGATTCCGCCAAGATTCCTCGCTCTGGACAGTCGAGTGAGCCCGAACGCGGCTCGCATAACCCGCCAAGGTTCTCGAAGCGTATGCGATCCGTGTTTGGCTTCCTGTGGGAGCAAAATGTGTCGCCTTTCGGAATCCTGCGAGGTTCGCTCTTCTTCGGACCCATGTTCGCTGGACGATACACATCACGACGATTTGGCGCACTGCCCGAGGACGAGCTGCGATCGCTGCATGCCTACTGCCAGAGCATCTTCCTGAGCAAAGGATCGGGCGAGTACTGCCTTGCGCACATCCTGGCGCCCGGGGCGTACGCTCGGCGACCCATGGTGGACCGCATCGAGCGACTCAAGATGCCCATGAGCTTCCTGTACGGCGAGCACGATTGGATGGACGTGCGCGGTGGCAAGGAGGCGGTCAAGCGCCTGCGCAAACAGGGCAATGTCAAGACGAACTGCTTCGTCGTGCCCAACAGTGGGCATCACATCTATCTAGACAACCCAACGCCGTACAACTCGCTCATCACCAAGATCCTGCGAGGGCAAGCGGATGCGTCGTCCAAGTAGGACGTATCTTTCGCTTAGACAACACTACCACTATAGAGATGGCAACACAAGCAGGACCGGAAGCATACACCACTTACACACCCATCATCATTTGTGACAGCGCGTCGTTTGAGAGCGACAGCATGTCGTGTGAGAACAGCACGGACCAAGCAGCGATGAAGATGCCGCAAGGAGACTGACGGAAGAAATACACTGACATGCCGATATCGTCTCTCTTGTCTGACACGCGAAACGTGGCGTGGAAAGGCTTCGCTTTCGGTGCTCAGCCAGGGTCGTCAAATTCGGCGAAACGCCGGCTTCATCTGCAGAGTCTGTGTGGCTGCGAGTCACGCTTGTCACAGAGGACAAATTTGCCCCTTCCTTTGATCATTGCCAAGGAAGGGCCGTCATCGGATGGGCTGCCGACCGACAATAGCCGGAAGAGACCGACGTCGTGGGAGTGAGAGTGTGAGGATAGCATACGCACATGCATGCGTGCTGTACGGATCTGCCGCTGCTTCGGTGAGTTCGACCGCTTTCCCCGGGGATAGCGAGGCCCTTACCCCAAAGGAAAAAGAGGGAAAACGCAGCAGACTGGAATTGCGGCTTGTTTGATTGGACCTCGAAAGTGACGGTCAGACCAGGCGACTCAAACAAAGTAGCCGCAGCCGAGAGCAGTCAGCCCCGTCTTTGCCGTAGAGCCTTATTTCCTCTCCAGTCACTTTCAAAGGACCCTTCGCTTCCTGTTTGCGTCACCAGCTCAGTTCCATCTTGACCACATCACACTCGCATTCGGATCTACACAAGTCGCCCCTTCCTCGACGACCTCGATCGACCTCGATTGCACGCACGCAGGACGTCGCACTGAGCTTGTGCTGCCACTTCAATCCGCCGAGCATCGTACAAGCCGAGCTCGGATCACAGCTAAGGACCGGGCTCGGAGCCAAGCAACCTGACCCTCACACGGGGCGCTACATTCCCATCCGATCGAGACCATTGAGGCTTTCCTCACCGAGCTTCACATCTCCGCTCATACTAGACGATTTCTACAAGCACGGCAACCAGAGAGGGATTGCAAGCAGCCCGACTGCCCATCATGAACAGCACACAATCCTTTCCTGCTCCTCCCGTCGAGATCTTTGTCGACACGCGAGGAGCCAAGATCATGGAAGATGGCGCCTCGAGTCCAGATCAGAGAGACAGCCGCGACATCTACCTGCCCAATCACGTCGAGGCAGTGTCGCATATCGCCGTCGATGTCGGTGGATCACTGGCAAAAGTCGTCTATTTCACACACTCGCGGTCCAGCGAGTCCATGCCCTCCTCACCAACCATCTCATCACCAGCCATGCTCAATTCAGCTCTGCCGTCTGCTGCTGGATCCTCCTCGACGCCCAACACCCTCCCGCCTAAAGCTAGCACTTCCAGCTTCCGCTCGCGGCCGGCCTCGGCAAACGGCACAATCCCGCCCACCGGCTTCAGGACACCTCCCGCCCAGCTCGACCATCCCATCGCATCCGGCACATTGACGCCTACCGCCATCCTTGGTTCGCCGCAGATCGCATCGGCATCAGCCATCCACTCCACCCTACTCAAACGTCGCTCGTTACCAGCTGCTCTGCCAGGAGGAAGACTCAACTTTATCAAGTTCGAGACGAGCGACATTGACAACTGCATCTCGTTCCTGCGCGAACTCATCGAACGGTCCGCGGCGTCTAATGGCGTTTCAATTGAAGACATGCGCAAGGGTGTCAAGCTCATGGCAACAGGCGGTGGGGCACACCTCATGTACGACTTGTTCGAGCAGGAACTCGGCATCGAGGTCAACAAGGAAGACGAAATGGGCTGCTTGATCACTGGTCTCAACTTTATCACCCTCATCCCAGATGAAGTGTTCTGGTACTCGGACGAGCTGGTGGCAGCATTGCATTCGCCTCTTCCTCAGAACGCCGAAGCAAGAGCCGATGCACAGGCATTGCGGTCTTCGGTACCATTGCAACATCCGCTACCCCGTCCCTCACCGAATCCGCCCCTCTATGCACCCATGTTCGACTCGCATCCATCGCCAAAGCTGCCCTGTTTGCTGGTCAATATCGGCTCGGGAGTCTCGATCATCAAGGTAGACGACTTTGGCAAGTTTGAGCGAGTCTCGGGCACGTCGCTGGGTGGCGGTACGCTGTGGGGTCTCCTTTCCTTGCTCACGGACGCGGACAGCTTCGACGAGATGCTCGAGCTCTCGGAACAGGGAGACAACGCGAGCGTCGACATGCTTGTCGGTGACATTTACGGCTCGGTCGGCCTCGATCATCTCGGTCTCAAGAGCTCGACTATTGCCTCTTCCTTCGGCAAGGTCTTCCGCAAAGATCCGAACTCGTCGGCTCCTCGCAACGCCGAAGGTCGCCGCAAGAAGTTCCGGTCCGAAGACATTTGCAAGTCGTTGCTGTATGCCATCTCGAACAACATCGGTCAGATCGCATACATGAATGCGGAAAAGTACAATCTCGATCGCATCTACTTTGGTGGATGCTTCATTCGCGGTCACCAGGCGACGATCAGCACGCTTTCGTACGCCATTCGCTTCTGGAGTAAGGGCACGAAGCGCGCCTTCTTCCTTCGACACGAGGGATACCTTGGCGCGATTGGTGCATGGATCAAGCATGTCACGCAGGATCCGACGTCGTCGAATGGGAGGGCGGCCGCACAAGCTATGGCTGCTGCTCTGGCAGGCTCAGCGGGCAGGTCGACGCCGTCCGTGCCGTCGGGACTTGGACGCTCTGTGTCTCCAGCTTCGTCGTCGGACGAGCCGATCGATTGGGGTAAGATCCAGGAAGCCTCTTTGCAACCACCCGTGCTCAACGGCGACGGACTGCCTGAGCCAGCTGCACCAGCAGACTCCACAGCGACGCTATCAAACCCGCTTTTGGCTGCTTTGCGCCAAGCAGAGTCGCATGACCCAGACAACAAAACACCAACACAAGAGTCGACACAGCAAGAGAAGCACCTGGGCTCGCAACCGCAGTCTGACCTGGACTTTCTCAACCGTCTCATGAGTCAGCAGAGCCAGCCCGCGCGACAGCCGTCAGCTCAGCAAGCGAACGGCATTGCTCGCGCAGACTCGGACGAAGCAGAAGCCGTGGAGGGGCAGGACGAAGCAGCGCAGCTCAACGAGATTCTCGCCTCGCTCAAGTCGTTGCAAATACCGACGACGAATGGTGCGGATCCAGCGGCAGCACAGGCAGAGAGGAATGAGATCTTGAGCCTGCTGGCGAATCTGGAGCAGACCGAGGAGGTGGTAGGTGGTCTCGAAGGAAAGCTGGACAGCCTGCTTTCGTCGTTGGACTCGTTGATCGCCAATCAGGAGGCGCAGCAGCTTGCTCAGTCGGCTGTGGATCGGACATCTTAGAAACAATCGCAGACAGGATGCTTCATTTGTGTATTTTTAGACAGCTCTATGTACTCAACGCAACACCGACAGCCGCACGAGGCGGTGCTTCCGCATGTACAAGCATCTTGTGTGACTAGATCGGACTGAGAAGGGCAGTCCACACGTCCATGCATCTCACCCTCCCTATCCTGACCACCGCTTCCTCCATTGCGTTCTTTGTCGTCTCCACGCTCTGTTGCAGCTTCTGTTTTGTCGCGTACCCCTCGCAGTCCATTTTGGCCGCCTCTTGCGCCGCATCTCGCGCTATATCCACCTCCCAACCTCCATCTTGGAGCTTTTCCGCTGGTGCAAATGTCACCTCTCGATCCACTTTCCAGCCTGCCTCCCTTGCCAGAGCTTTTATCTGCATGGGGCTGAGTACGAGCTGCACGTTACCACCTTGCACCGGCGATTGTCCCTGGAGTAGCACGGCGAGGAGGTGTGGGAGCGCGTCTGGATGCGAGATGCTCAATGCCCATTCTGCGAGCAGCAGATGTTTCACTCCCGCCTCGCGGATCGCGATGAAGGTCTCCTTGAGGACATGAGCGGAAGGGAAGTACCACATGCTGTGCGATAGCATGACCGTGTCCACGGTGAGCGTCGCAAGCACCTCTTGCGCTGTCTTGCCGAGCACGAAGGATAGATTGGGGTAGGCTTGGGAGAGGACGTCTTGAGCTTGCTGAAGCGTGTATGGTGCGCCGTAGTCGGGTGGGGCAGGGTCGACGCCGACGATGCTGGCTGGTCGACCGTTTTTTGTGTAGAGATCGGGGTTGGCAGCGTGCACCGCAGCCAACGCGCCAGTCTGGTCGCCCTGCCCACAGCCCAGGTCCATCACGCTACCCGCCAGCAGATCATACTTCGCATCTTCGGCTACAGGGGCTGATGACGAGGGATCAGCGCCCGTCAGCCAGCTGTAGAGGATGTCGAACCGGTGCGCTGTCTGGACGCTCTGCACGCTCAAAGGATTGCCTCGAGAGGAAGAGGGCTGGACGTGCCGCGCGGCCACATCCACCGCTTTGAGTTGGAAGAGCTGTTCTGCGTTGGTAGTCATTGTTGAAGATGGTAGAGAGAAGGCGGTGTGGGGTGGACGAGCTCAAGTTTGTGGTTCGAGACAATCTAGAGCTGCACCAGCATGCGGAAGCCCATCGTCCGAGGGGCTCTACATTTCATGCACTATTGAATGATACAGACTCCTGCCATGCTTGCATGGTGCTGGTGAATGACTCGTGAAGTCGAGCATGATCGTTGACAGCTGTCCGCGGAGGAAAATGGAACGGCTCCAAAATTCGACACAGAAAAGGAGACAACAAAAAACTCTCGACACCAAGCCTTCTCTTCCTGGTCACTATGCTCTGCTGGCGAATGCACGACCACCATGAGAGCGGAGTCGATGTCAATGGCCAGCTTGAATGTTAGGACAGAGAAGAGGTAGGTCCTGACAACCATGGTTGCGCATATCCGCACGTCGGCCTTGTTCGGCCACCGGCAAAGGCGCGCTGCCGGAGGCTCGGCTCTGCAGCCAGAAAATCGTGTCCAAAAAAGGCCGGTCTCGCCGGCAATCGCTTCCGTTACCCCACACTCGCACAAAAAGCAGCAACCGCTACATCTTTCTCCGTTACCATCACCATTCACTCGTCGTTGTTTGCTCTCAAAAATGGCATCCAATCGACCAGCTCCCGAGAAGCTGCAGCCGCGCGACATTCAGGATGAACGCAGAGCATGCTCGTTCGACGTCGATGCCATGTCGTGCATCCTGCCGGGCTCCAAGGCGGAACGCGACAACGCTCGTTGGTTGCTATCGCTCCTCAAGAACGACGCCGACCACACCTTTGACAAGGAAGACCGCGTCTTTCAGTCTCGAAACGAGCGCTTCCTCAAAGGCCAAAAGGTAGCACTGCGCTATTTTGAAATCCGCAACCGACACGGTCTTGAGAAGAAGGATGCAGACCTGATGCGATTGTACACTGACGAGTACCTTCCCATCCAAGTGGCCGAGAGCATGGCGCAGCCAACACTCATGCGACAAGCAAGTCAGGAACAGTGGGCAGAGTGGGGACCTATGGTGCGATCGGGACGATGGCTAGGCTGCTACATGCAAACCGAGCTGGCTCACGGTTCCAACCTTTCTGCGCTACGCACCACAGCGACACTTGATCTCGAAAAAGACGAGTGGGTGATCAACACTCCCGAGCCGTCTGCAGGCAAAGTGTGGATCGGCGGAAGCGGTCTCACTGCCACGTACGGAGTCGTGATGGCCAACCTCATCATCAAAGGCAAGTCGTACGGCATGCACCCGTTCCTCGTCCATCTCCGATCGCTCGAAGATCACACCCTCCTTCCTGGCCGACGCATCATGGAGATGGGCGCCAAGCTCGGTGCTCCCGCGATGGACAATGGCTATACCTGCTTCGACTCTGTTCGCATTCCCCGCAACAACCTCCTGCAGCGTTTTCAGACGGTCTCCAAGGACGGTGTGTACGAAAAGCGCAATGCCGCCGCTCAAGTCATGACGCGCGGCACCATGACGCTCGTCCGTGTCGGTCTCTGCGAGATTGCAGCGCACCATCTCGCACGAGCCGCCACCATCGCCATCCGCTATGCCGTCGTGCGTCGCCAAGGCACGTCAGCCACCAAGCCGGATCAGCTCGAGCCCAAGATCCTCGACTACGCCTCGGTGCAAACTCGCGTCCTCGCCGCTCTCGCCAGTGCGTACGCCATTACGTTTGTCAGCCAGCACCTCAGGCGCATGTACAACGAGATGATTTCCGAGATCGAGGGCACGGGCAACAGCGGGTTGCTGCCCATCGTGCACGGTTACTCAAGCGTCCTCAAGGCGGTCTGCACCAACGAGTCGTTGGGTGGCATCGAACGCTGCCGGAGGAGCATGGGCGGGCACGGGTTCAGTCAGGCTTCTGGCTTCGACTTTGAGCGCAACCAGCCCAACGCCGGTCTCATCTACGAGGGCGAGAACTCGATGCTGTTGGCAGGCCCGTCGGCGAACTTCTTGATCAAGCAGCTCAACGAGACACGGAAGAGGAAGGGCAAGGCGGCGCGACCTGAGCTGGCCTACCTCGAGCTCATCGCTGAGGGCTCTGGAGTGAGCGCTGCCATCTCGAAGCGCGCACAGGCCGTCAGTGCCGAGCAGATCGGGCAGCCAGCAGCACTGCTCGACCTGCTGGGCTATCGTGCCGCGCTGCTAGTCGACAAGCTCGCTCAGCACCGCTCCAACGCTCAAAGCACCGACGGCGTCTACAAGCACATCGATACGAATCTCGCTGTGCGCGCATCCAACGCGCACGGCGCCTTCCTTCTGGGCTATGCATTCCACGACGTGGTCAAATCACTTCAGACCTCCGCTGGCACATCGCGCTTCGGCGTGACCATCCAAGACTCCCATGTTACCGCGCTGGATAGCTTGCTTCGCTTCTACCTCATCCAGAATTGCATCCTGTCCCAAGAGACGCTTGGTGACTACCTCGAGCTCCAGCTGCTCACTGGTGCTCAGTTGGATGCGCTGCGAAGGACCGCAGCAGGGCTGCTCTCCGGCCCCATCCGCAGAGACGCCCTGCGTCTGGTGGAGAGCTTCGACATGGACGACTGGTATCTTTGTAGTCCCCTGGGCAGCAGCGACGGTAGGGCATACGAGAGGATGATTGAGTGGATGAAGTTGGAGCCGCTCAACCATACGGGAGAGAGGGGAGCAAGGGATGAGAACGGCGTGGTCAAGGGGTATAGGGAAGGGATCGGGAGGTTGATCAGGGGTGAGGCGGTGGCATTTACCGAGAAGGCAAAGCTCTAGAATGTCCTTGCGCTCAGTTCAAATCCAGTCGCAATTCGTTGCAGCAAGTTCAGGCTCGACTGTTTGTGTCGTTGATGGGATGCTGTGATCCATGTTGTCTGTGTGATGGTGTCGACAATGGCGAGGCGAATCAGTAAGATCGGGATCGCAAACGCGTGAGTTGAGCCCGATCCAGCTAGAAGAACTAATTTCGCGATGGGTGGTTGGACGTGCCGCTCGATCCAACTCCTCTTTGAAACGCTCATCCTATCTTCCTCACCCATGCATATCTTGCACGTACCTATGCAGTGACCATCATCTCAGACACCGTTGTCGTCACTGTATCTCGCTCATTGCCCGTCTCAGCTTCTCGCGCGCATTCACATTCACGAAGATACCCTGGCCCGCTGCATACACGCTCGACAAATCGCGCCTCAACCTGTTCTTGTCAGCAGCACCGAATCGCATTCTCGTCCATTCCTACTCATAGTCGACAGCATGGCAGTCGAAGTACCGCAATCATCCTCCTCAGGAGCGGCGCTACCGCTCGACGACGATGTGCAGATCGCCTTCCTCCGTTCCATCGCATTGCATCGCCCAGTTGGCCCGCACAAGCATTTCCAGATGCTCTCCGTCATCTCGGATACGCAAAAGGCGCTCGATCTCCGATACCAACGACTCTCTGCCCGACTAGAAAAGCTCAGCAGTGCAGCGCCGCCCAGCATCGCCGACAAGAAAGCCAAACCGGCCGCTTCCGCGAGTAGCAGCAACACAGGCAGCGCACGCATCCGCCGCTCCGTCACCGGCAACCTTGGGCAGTCACGCAAAAGCTCCCGTTCCCGCTCAGCGAGTGTCGCCAGCTCCGGTGCCGTCGAAGATGACGCTGAGCGCACAGACGACGATGCGGACGAGGAGGAGGAGAGGGAACGCCAGCAGGAGACCGAAGAGACGCGCCTCGCCATCGCACAGCTCGGCATGGACCGCAGGATCGAGCCAGAGATGGTGTGGAACGAGCTGAACGATCTGTTCGACCTCGAGGCGTTGGATGATATGGAGGAAGGTGCGATCTTTGATTCGTCCAGCAGCCAAGCAGGGACGAGCACGGAGGGAGGTGATTCGAGCGGCTCAGAGTCGACGCCGAGGCAGGGGAGGCATAGGAGGGAAACGAGTGCGGAGGCGGGGAAGACGCGCACGTTGCCAGCGGGAGTGTTGGCGAGATGCGTGTTTGAACATCCGGGGTCGCCTGACTTCCACATGGATGCGAATAGGAAATCGAGTTCCGGCGGCTCGCAGAACTGGGTGTACGGAGATGATATCAAGGGAACGGGGGATGGGATGGCTAAGCGCGACTTCTACCTGTGGCCGTGGGAGGCCTATGAGCCTCTGATCGCCGAGCGACGTCTGGCCAAGAACGCGGAGGAGGAAAAGGGACCAGCTGCCGGCCGCAGTGGTTCATTCGCAAACGAAGTCGCAGCACCGGACAAGAAGGTAAAGCGCTCTCCTTCTCCAACCGCCAGCGACAAGCCAGACGCGGAGGACGCGGAGGAGGTCCACGATGACAGCGAAGAGGAAGCGAAGCCTGAAGAGGAGGAAGATCTCTCAGAGCCCGATTCGGACGCTGACATCTCCAAGGACTCCACCCCCAAGCGACGCTCCAATCGTCGGGGCCAAGACTCCAGCGGCAGCAAGAAGAAGTCGACCCGCGGCCAGGCGCGCGGCGCATCCGAAGCAGCCAGCGACGAAGACGAAACCGCGCCCGAGGCCAAAGACAAAGACGAAACCGATGAGGATCACTCCGCTGAGGAGGACGACGCCAAGTCTCGCATCCTAACGCGACGAGGCAGTCGTCAAGCACCTACGCCCCTCCAGCGGCCCTCCCGCCCCACACCCGCCAGCCGCAAGAGCACGTCCGGCAATGTAACCCCTACCCGCTCCACGCGACGCAACCGGCGAGCGGGCGACGAACCCTCCGACGAGTCTGGCGCCGAGGACAAGGCCGAGAGCGAGAACGACGACGAGGCGACGCAGAGCGAGGCGGACAGCACATCACGCCGAAGGGGCAAAGCGCAGCCGGCATCCGCGCGCAAATCCAAGAAGCGTGGCGCACCATCGAGCGACGAGGAGGATGTCGATTCGCGACCCTCGGTGCGCCGGCGCAGCAGCCGGCGGGCGTCCAAGTCGGACGATGTGGAGCAGGATGAGGAGATGGCCGATGCGAAGGAGGAGCAGAGCGAGGCGGGGAGCCAGGCTGGGGCCGAGAGCGCCTCCGAACAGGGCGATGCCGACGAAGATGGTGAGGAGCAGGACGAGGAGCAGGACGGCTCAGAAGAGGAAGCCGAAGAGGACGCCAGCGACGACGGTAGCGACCACGACATCTCGCGTCGCGGCAAAAAAGGCACTCCTTCGCGCAACTCTCGCACAAGTACCGCCAACCGCTCCACTCGCGCCTCCGTCGTCTCGCGCTCGAGCGCCGCGAAGAGCCCACCCGCAGCTACACCCGTCAAACAGACCCGATCCAGCCGCACCTCCGCTACCCCGGTCGGGTCGTCCAGGAGAGGAAGCAGCGACAAACAGCAGCCAGCAGCTTCAACGCCGACGCCGAGAACACCCGCTCAAAGGGCCAGCACCAGGAGCTCCGCTAGCGCCGATCAGAGGAGCACGAGGCGCACGCCCAGACGATAGACGATGCTGAGGAATGCACGGACATTGAAAGAGGTCGGAACCGGGTCGTGCCGGGTCGTGTGAGAGCTGTGAGCGGGAGCAAGAATGTGATGAGCAAACCAGGGCCATTCTCAAAAGCCCGTCACTGCTCTGCGCCGGTTCAGGTCTGAGTCTAGGCTCACAGCGTCGACTGGAGGAAGTGGTGAGAATTCAATCCTGCTCAAGTACAAGTGACTGTTCAAAGGCCCACCTTCTGCCTTCCATCCTTCTGCACCCGCTCCCTGGCATCGGCCTCCTTAATCTCCAACCCAGCATCGATCCACTGCTTGACATACGCATCCACCTTGTCTCCCGTCTCTGTGGCATCGACGCTCCTTCCGAACGCATCGACGAATTTGCCCTCGGGATCCATGAGGTAGAAAAAGATGCTGTGATCCACCAAATAATCTCCCATTGGATCGGCTCCTGGTGGGGTGCTAAAGTAGACTCGGTAGGCCTTGCACGCCTGTTTGACCGCCTCAAACGTCCCTGTCAACCCGACCATCCTCGGGTGGAAATCCTCAATATACCTCTCGAGCTGTGGAACGGTATCTCTCGCTGGATCGCACGAGATGAACACCGGGTTGATCACCGTCTTTCCGTACTTGGCGTCGATGCGATCGACCACTTCACCCATCTTATCCAGCTCCTCGGGGCAGATATCGGGGCAGTTGGTGAAACCGAAGTAGACCAATGAGAAGCTGCCCAGCAGATCGTCGTGTGTGAAAGGGTGGGAGGTGGAGGTCACCAGTTCGAAGGGGCCGCCGATGCGTGGACGTCCCACCTTGGCAGAGGCGGTCTCGGCCTTGCGTCGTTCGGCCACTTTGGCTTTTTCTGTGCGGAAGTAGTAGAGTAATCCCGCACCGGTGACGAGAAATAGGAGGCCGGCACGGAGGTTGAAGGGACCCACGGCGAGTTTGTCTTTGGCTGACTCTTCGCGTTGTGAGGAGTAGTAGCGGGCGGTGTTGGGGACCGGGGCGACTCGTGCCGTGGGTCGAAGGGTGATGCTGCGTGGGAGGGTGGAGATGCTTCGGAGGGTGAGGGGCCGTTGGGAGCGAGCTATCGCTGCGGCGCGCACTGTGGCCGAGAGCGCGTTCATTGTGATGTTGTTCCCTGCGGTGACCGCGATAGTCCGTTGCTGGTTGTGTTGGTATAGATCGTTGAGAAGGTTGAAGCAAGAGCGAAGGAAGAGCGCTGCTTCCCTTTTTTTAGAGCTCTCTCGCCTGAGCTAAGCGTTGAATCTCGGAATTCGGACTGTGCTCCGCCCGCTCCACTTTTCTGATTCTGCTCCACATGGATCCCTTCTTCCTTCCTTCAACCTGTCACAGACTCGTCACAGTCAAGCTAGCAAGAATGAGCAGCAAGAGGCTCAACAAGCGGCAGCTGCGTGAACAACAGGAGCTCGACGAGCTGGCCGAAGCACCGCTGCCGACCAACGAGGCAGCGAAGAAGTCCGCATTTCAACAACTAGCCGAATCGGATGATGACGATCAGGATGATGACGAGGAGGAAGAGGAAGCAGCTCCTGTCTCGACCGCCACGAAGAAGCCAACAACCACTTCACTCTTCGCTGCACTAGGTGATGGTGCTGAAGAGGAGGAGGAACAGGACGACTCGGAGCCAGATCAAGATATCTCCACGCAGCAAGCGGCAAAGTCGAACAAGAAGAAGAACAAGAAGAAGAAAAAGAAAGCTGCTGCTGCTGCTACGGCTGACAATACTGGTTCGGCAGAAGGCGACACCGCACAGCAGACGCCATCGATCAATGCCGCGAAGAAGTCGACCAAGAAGAAGCCCACCGCGCCGACCCCAGCTGCCAAGTTGAAAGACGTGTCCGAGATGTCGATCGACGAGTTCGACGCCCTGCTCGCCTCGCAAGCCTCGCTCAACACCGACTCGTCCAACTCCGCTCCCAGTTCCTCCTCAAACGCTCCCTCCGCCAACCGCGTCTCGGCCTTCCGCACGCACCTCGCGCTCGACCCACGCAACCTCGACCCCTCGCTCGAGCTCCGGCGTCAATTCGGTTCCGCGGCCATCAAAGCGTATCAATCCGAAGCGGCCTCCTCCGCGGGCGGCGGTCGTGCGACCAACGGCGCTCGCGCTCGCGCCCAAGCGACCAACCCCAACCTCAAAGTCCGCTCCCTCCTGTGCACGCCGCAACCGCACTGGCCGCCCATCGCGCGCTCCTTCACCGGCATGTCCATGGACATCCTCGAATCGCCTTCCGGCCGAACCTGCGTGTGGAGGCACAGCAAAGCCTACCGTCAAGTCCAGATGCAATTCCTCCAAGCCGTTCGGAGCTACGATCCCAATTCGCTCATGGCTTTGCTCAGGGTGTATCCCTACCACGTGGATACGCTGTTGCAGCTCTCCGAGTATTCACGGCATCAGGGGGATTTGGGTCAGGCGGCGGATTTCAACGATCGCGCGCTGTTTGTGATGGAACGCTGTGCGAGTCCGTTTTTTACGAGCTGTTTGAGTAGCAGCACCAGTGGGCCACCCGTGGTAAGCTTTGCCAAGGTGGAGAATCGGGCGTTTTACATGGCGATCCATCGCAACATTGGGTTTTTGGGACGAAGGGGGACGTGGAGGACCGCGTTGGAGTGGGCAAAGTTGCTGTTGGGATGCGGGGAGGATGGGGAGGATCATCATGCGGCGTTGCTGTGGATCGATTTCTTGGCGGTGAAAGCGAAACAGGGGAGGTGGTTGGTGGAATTGTTCCCGCAACTGGATGCGCAGCGGTCGAAAGGCGTGCATAGCGTCGAGGAGCTGAGTGTCGCCGCGCGGACGATCACTGATGGGGACAAAGAAGCTGCGGGTGAAGGTGCCGGGTATGCGGGGACGTTGGATTGGTGTGTGGGTCTCGCCTATTCGCGCGCCCTCGCCTTGCGTGCGGTGGAGAAGGAGGAGGGGGACAAATCGCATACTCGCTCCAATGCCGCTCTCCGACTCGCCATCGCCCGGTTCCCAGCCGTAGTACCGCTGCTGTGCAACAAGATCGGTATCGAACTCCCCTCGACCCTCGCCGGTCACCCCCTCTTCCAGCTCGCCCCACGCTTCTCTTCTTCCTCCGACACGTTGGGCGATTTGCTGACGCACATCTACGTCCTCCGTTCCGAGTCGCTCTGGAAGGACCCTGGTTTGGGCGACTGGTTACGATCTACCACACTCGCTCTCTCCCCCGCTCTCATCGAGGATTTCAATCGACCCAAGCAAAATCGCCAAACGCAACCCGCCAGCGCATCGCACCGCACCCGCCAAGGTATCTACCGTCATGTGCTTGTCTCGGATGTCCCCGATACGGTTCGTCAGCAGCTGATCGCGTACCTGCCCCCAAGCATTACGGGGAGCAGCGAGCAGATGGACTCGTTCGACCCGGTTCCACCTACAGGGGAAGAGGTGACCCGGTACGACGATGCGTATTTCGCACCTGTGCTTTCGTCCCTTCCAGCTCAACGGGATGGAGGGCGGGGAGAGGGGATGATGGCCGCCTTCCGGAGGGCGTTGCAAGGGCTAGGTGCGGGGCAGGGATGGGATGCCGCCATGGAGAATATGGACGATGAGACGAGGGAAGAGGTTATGGCACAGGTGATGGGGATGGCGCAGGCGCAGAGGGGAGGTGGGATGCCTGGTGGATTTGGTGGAGAAGAGGACGAGCAGGAGGATGGCGAGATGGAGGCGGCTGGACAAGGGGCGTTTGGCGCCATACGTGCGGCTATGGACGCTATCTGGGGCGGACGCGGTCAGCCACAGGAGACTCACGACGACGAAGAGCAAGAACATCCACACCAATGATGCATGAATCCAATGCCATTCTACCCATGAAGACTAGGAAAACATCTTACTATACGCCGCCCGCTGCGCCTTCTTCCTCGCCTCCCTCCTCTTCGCCACATTGGCCAATTCGTTCCTGATCCCCGCATCCGCGGGTGCCAGCTCCTTGGCCCGACCCAGATCCGCCTCGGCGCGCTCGTCGTCCTTCTGCGCAACGTACGCCAGTGCTCGGCGGTAGAACGCTTTGGCCAGGTCCGCCTTCTTCTTGGTCTCGGCCGCCTCGCTCTCCGCGTTGGTCTCCCACGACTCGGGTTTGGTCGAGGTGAGGTGCTGGATCACCGCGGTGGCGGTTTTGATGGAGACGGTTGGTTGTGCGGGTGTGGTCTTGAGCGCGCACAGGGCGGTGTTGAGCTGGATGCTCGTCTTGAGCGTGCTCCACTCGGAGGCGAGCGCGGAGGGGGTGTCTTCCGGTAGGATGGGGTGGAGCGAGAGGTAGCGCAGCGCCTTCTGGTATTTCTCCAGCGCAGTGGCGAACTGTCCCTTCGAGAATTGCGCGTTGGCGATGCTCTTGAGAGCGGAACCGATGTCGAACGTTGCTTTGACATCGCTTTCGAGCTTGTCATCCTGATCCTCGGGGAAGTCCTCGTACTGATCGCCCGTGGCATCCGCCTCAATGCCATAGCTGCCATTCTTGACCTCCTCCGATCCCTCCTCCAGCTGCCCACACTCCACAATCCTCACATTTTCCACAGGCCGATCGCTGCTCGTCTCCACCGCTTCCACCCTCCTCACCACCCCCTTTCCTCGCAACACACGTCCAAACACCACATGCTTCCCATCCAAATGCGGCGTCGGCACCGTCGTGATGAAAAACTGACTCCCATTCGTCCCCGGTCCGGCATTGGCCATGCTCAGCAAGAACGGAGCGTCGTGTTTTCCCGTCAGATCTTCATCGGCAAACTTTTCGCCGTAGATGCTTTCGCCGCCTGTGCCGTCACCGCGAGTGAAGTCGCCGCCCTGGATCATGAACTTGGGGATGACACGGTGAAAGATCGAGTTCTTGTACGAAAGAGGTGTGCCAGAAGAGGTGGTGACGGTGGAAGGGTTGGTGCAGAGAGCGCGGAAGTTCTCGGCTGTCTTAGGGACCAAGTGGGCGTAAAGCTCGATGACGATTCGGTTGGCGCCAGCGCGGGTCGGGGGAGGTGAGGTGCCGAACGACAGGTCCAGGTAGACCAAAGGGTTGCCCGGTTTGGGCGCGGTGCTGCTCGAGGTAGCCATCTTGGAAATTCGATCAATCGGATGGTGGTGGTGTGTTGGAACAAATGAGCGGTGACGAGACCAACACTTTATGAACAGTGGGGAGTGAGAAGTCAAGTGTTGCTCGCAAGAAGAACACGCAATCGAGCTTCGATTTTTTGGAAGAACGCCGTTTCTGGCACTTTCCACGCCTTCTTCTGACGCACAGACGCGAGAAATCGGGCATGGCGCATCTCTCAAGTTAGACGCATCCTCTTCGTGATCGACTCAGCATGTGTTGGCCTTTGCTCTTCGCCGCAGTTCCTGTCTCAGTGTTTCAGTCGCAACCAATCTGTTTTCATCGTCGTCATGTCTACAATATGGAGATGACATTGAGCGCGCGTGCAAAACCGATTCAGGATGACATACGATCTAGCTGCTTGCACAGGGTAGCCCTGTCTCTGTCCTGCATTTGACTGATGAGCTGAAGGATTTCGTCCGTGGACTTGAAACGGACTGGAAAGGTGATGGAGCGACGTTCTGCTACCTCACCTTCAGCTTGCTTGTGTTCTTGAGGAGGCGACAGCGCGCGGAGGGTGGCGGCTGATGTGCTTGGAGATGGACAATCAGATTGACGCCTGACGACTGGATCGTTGCTGTGAGAGCGTTAGTGATCGCGTTTGCAACTAGCCGCCGGTCCTGAGCCGCCAAGGTGGCGGTTGTTCATCAACAGTACGGCGTACATGTTCCGGTGGGCACGGGAAACCTTGTACAGCCTGATATTGAAGGGGCATTCCTTCGCCGTACAGTAGATGTCGATGTATTCCTCAAAAGACTTTTGCTCGAGGATCCATCCCTGTTCGTAAAAGTGGTCTATCAGGCCCTCGGCCGCAAGTTGACCGTCGTCAACGATGTCAGGGTAATTCTCTGGTAGCTGGATCAAGTGGCACCTGCATTGGTAGCTTGAGTTGCTGCTCTGTTGCATCGTGGCGGCTTGCTGGGTTGGAACAAGGTCTAGCTCGACCGTGGAGAGGATGATGAAGGAGAAGGTAAGAAGCACAGAGCAAGGAGGCGCGAGTCAAATCCTGTGCGCAGCTATGCGCGTACCCGCGCTGCGCTGCGCTGCTCTCCAGTTTTGCGCCGTCCCCACCACAACCTCATTTGGGGGGCCATGCCTCATGACACAACGTCTATCGCTCGAGTCCCTTTCACAGAGTCGAGATTTAGTTTCAGATGAAGCATCGCATTGCATGCTTCGCCCTTGTTGTCTTCAAAACAGTCGTCCATTCGACTGATGTTCCTCGATCAGCTCCAGCAGGCATCCGAGCGCGACCACCGCAAACGTATTCCCGCCGAAGCTGCGCACACTCGCCTCGGTGGCGCCCAGATAGCATGCAGAGTACAGATAGCGCAGCTCCTTGCGTCGTTTGCGCCGAGCCAGGTCGTCGGCCGACATGCGACCCGAGTAGTGACGCTCCATGCCGTAGTCCGAGTCGTCGGAATCGTACATGAGCTGGTAAAGTTCTGGGTCGGTGCACGCGATGGCGCGGTTCTTGCCCTTTGAGTTGTGGTTGGAGGTGCCGTTTGTCTTGGACTTGCCATTGGCGGCGCCGTTGGTTTGCGAAGTGCCGTTGCTACAGCCGTTGGTGTGCGAAGGGCCGTTGCTCGAGCCGTAGTTGTAGCCGTTGCTGGTTCCGTTCGCCTTGGCCTTGCCCTTTCCCTTGCCTTTGCCGCGACCGTTGGTGTTGGCGGTGCCGTTCGAGCGAGCATGGTCAATGCCGACGACGACTCGTCTTTCCGGCTGCTGTCCGTTGGCACTGTGACCGTTCCCGTTCGTGGCGCCATTTCGATGTCCATTGCCGTTGCCGTTGGAGCGAGACGACGAGGCAGCCGCAGCAGCAGCGGCTTCGGCCTTCTTCTTCGCGTCTCCCCTTCGCAGACAGTCGTCGACGTACTTTTCGCGTGCTCGATTCACCCGTTCCACAATGTCGTAGTACTCGCCGTATTCGCTGTCCGAGTCATCGGACCAAGGCGATGGACTGCCGTTGGGATCAGGTCGCTCGCGCAGCACCACTCTCTCACCATCGACCACCACGATCCTCGGCTTGGGCCTTGGTCGAGGCTCCGCAGGGACGACCTGCGCATAGCCAGTGAAGTGCAAGGTGTCCGATATTTCTTTCCCGGGGATGCCAGTCTGCGACCTGCCCGTGATGTTCTTGGTCGGCCCTTTGCGCGTGTCTGGTCGGATCGTTCCTGTCTCGACGCTATCGTTACCCGCAATGAGCTGCAGTTGCGCCCTCAGGATCGGGAACAGCTCCGCCGTAGACGAGGTCAACCTTTCCTGTCGTCTTTTCAGCTGTTTCGCCTTGCACGCCATGACCTGTGTGCCGATCAAAATCTCTTCCTCGCTTAGCCATTCCGTCTCGGTTCTGCTTTCTGGGATCCATGCGGCCAGCTTGCTCAGCTCGAAGACGAATGTCTCGAGAAGCGGTCGGAAATGCTCCTGCATCTGCACCAGTCTCAGTCCCTCTGGCACGATCTGGGAATATTTTTGCGCCAGCGTCGATAGGATCGACAGAATGTCGTCCGACTTGCCCGGCTGCTTGAGGATTTTGGTGAGCGCGCTCGGGTTGCTCTCTCCCCTGGCCCACGCAGGTTGCGTGCCGAAGGGAGTGTCCGTGACCTGTTCCGGAATCGCTCTGTAGAGCTGACCAAGCGCTCTCGGGCTTGCGTAGATGTTGGGGCCTGCCGGTCGTTGAGCCAGAAAGTCCGGTCGGGCCGAGTTGAATGGTGGCATGGGCACTTCCTTGCGAGGGATTGCCTGTCCCGTTTTGCGGTAGTCCACCGCCTTTGCATGCAGCTGTGCCAGCTTGATGCAGTCCGGATCGAGCGAGTGAAGCTCGCTCTTGTCGGCGATTTGCAGATGGAAGGTCGATACCAGGCCAACCTGGTCGTTGATGATGTAGTCGACAAAGAAGTCGGCAAGATCTTCAGCAGTGCAGGACCTTGCCAGTGAGCGAGGAGGCACGGTCTTATACTGTCCAGGCGAAATGACTCGCTCCGGGTACAGACGAGGATCTTGGTAGATGGTGTATAGGTCGCCGTCGAGGTCGCCGCCGCTGAGCATCGACTGGAGGGGTCGACCGGTGGGGCTCTTGCTAAACACGACGACGTTGCGTAGCTGCCAAAGCGGGTGGTCTGGAGGCGGCGCCACCGCAGTCACCACACGTACATCACCTGGGTGAATCGTTGGACTTCGACCGATCATGACTTGACCTTGGAAAGCCGTGAACTTGCCGTCGTTGTAGTCGTCGACCTGGGCGAAGATCTGGCCTCGCGCCAGATACCCAAATTCGTCCACGACACTAATAAGAGTACTGCCATCAACGGGAATTCTCGCCTTGCGCTTGAGATCGCCGAGAGCAGCGGCGATCACGATTGTACAAAGCCGGTTAAGGATGCCATCAGGGTGAAGCTTGTCAGGTTGAACACCGACCAGGCTTTCGAGGCGACGGAAGAGCCGGTTCATCTCCGCAGTGTCGCTGAGAGCAAACGAGCCCATCAGCTTGGACGCACGCTTGAAGCATCTGCGGGCCGATTGAGCATTCTCGACCGCCTTGTGTTGCAGTGACAAGAACACCGGTGCCTTGACGCCAAGATCCTCGAGTGCGTTGATGAGTGGACGATTGAGACGGGCTGGCAGAGCGGAGAAGGAAGTCGCAGCCACCTCCAGATCGCGATGCTCGGGAGCAGAAAACTTGATCATGCTCTCTCGCACGATCATCTGTTTGCCTGTCAGTTTCGGATTGAGGCAGAGGACGCCCTTCGCACCCCCGCAGCGGAACTGGATGGCAGAGGGAATGCGTGCTGGATCCTCCTGCGACAGGTGCCATTCGCGACGCATGTTCTTGACTGTGCACAGCTCTCGCCAAATGTCGTTGAGCAGCGCACGCGAGATCTGACCTACACCGTCAGTGAGCAGGTAGAAATCTCCTTGACGGCGCCCGTCGGACGGCATGCGTGCGTCGCTGTAGTCGTCTCGGATGATCTTGATCCACTCGTCTTTGATGCGGATGGTGGACGATGTGGCACTGAAAGCCTGCGAGAGACGTGCGCCAAAGCGAGCCGGTTGCTTTTCGACTCGACTGAAGTTACCGAGCGACTGGCGAATACGCTCAGCATCCCACGGCTTGCCTTTCTTGTCTGTGAAGGGCGTGACGAACCAGCAGTGGTGACTGCCAAGACCAGAGCCCGACCAAGCGAGTAAGCTGTAGTGACGACCAGCGATGGTGATGCCGCACTTGAGTGTGGTCCCGATCCGCTCGTGCACGAACGATTCGCTGTCGACGCCGTCGAGATCGAGTCGAGAGACGGGGAAGCGGTCGCCGTCCTCATCGGAGAAGGCGACTCGCAAGAAGTGGCTGCCGAATTCGGGAAAGAGGCGGAGAACACGATTGGAGGCGTCCATGAAAGGGCCTTCGAGGAGAATCCGTGTTGGTGTGACGGTGACATGAAAGACCTGGGCCACAGCGGTGGTCATAGCTATGTCGTCGAGCGTGGCGATCTCTTTTGCGTCGTAGCGCTTGAGACGCTCTTCTTCGGCATGGATACGCTCTTGCAGCTTGGTGGAAGCTAGAAGACACTTCGTGTTGCGCTCGCGGACCTGTACCTGGCGCGAGGTGGCGGCAAGGCTTTCGAGCACTCGGGCCGCGAAGTCGACGCTGTAGAGCTTGATGAGACGGCGTGTGTTCGACTTGAGGGTCTCGAGGACAGTAGGCGAATAGAGCGCATTGCGGAAGAGCTTTTCGAATTGGTAGGCGACTTTGATGTCCAGTGTCGCGTAGAACACTGCTGCTGCTTTATAGTATTCGGGGTCGGTCAGATTACGCCGCACGATGGGGCGAGGGGAGTGGCGTGGATTGCCAGCACGCTTGAGAAAGGGACGCGCTTCGAGACAGAACCAGTCGAGATCACGAGTGGAGACGAAGGAGACGCGGAAGTGGCAAGCGATACTTGGGATGCGATAGTGCTTGCGTTCTCTTTGAGCGAGAAAGTCCCAGTCGGGATGGAGGATTGTCTCGATGAAGTCAAACGAGGTACTATTTCGACCATCCAGGATGAACGTAGCGGGATCCTCGAGCTCGAAAGCGAGCGCATTGTGGTCACGATCAATGGACCAGGCGACGATGTTGTTGAAGAGAATGCGGATCGCATTCTTCTTGTTGCCAAAGTAAAGAACTTGGGCTTTGACGTCAAAACCCGATGGCAATGGAGTCAAGAGGCGATCAAAGTCCTCGATGGAGAACTTGCCGTCTTCGCAGATGACGCCAAATTCGACTTTGTTCCAAGCTCCGTCGCTCTGAGGCGGCTCGACGGCTCTGCGCGTGTGCGGACGACTGGAGACTACGCGGGTGGGCTCGGTGCGTGCGGATACGGCGTAAGCGACATTGGCGCGATGCACAGGCCTAGGCTCGGTGGGATCGACCACTCTGGCGAGCAAGGCGTGGTGCTGAACGTCGTCTTCGTCGCTGCTCTGAGCGGGATCGCCTCGGAGCCGTCTCTGTCTCTCCTCCCACGTCTCGAAGGAGTGGCGTAGAATGTCTTGGACCACCCGCTCAGCACCGAAACCGTTGGAGATGAGTTTGAGCGCGTTGTACTTGCCGTCTCGAACTATGTCGAGGGGTCTGCCTGTCTTGCCAGAGTAGTATTGAAGGAAGGCGGAAGCTGTCGAGGTCTCTGCGATGGTGACGAAAGCAAAGCCTTTGTGTCGATCGCGGCCGGTCTTGGGCAACAAGAGTCGGAAGTTGGTTAGACCATCGCCTGGTAGACGGACTGGCGGAGTGTGGAGCGCGGTGGCGATGCGATTGTAGAGGTCTTGCTCGGTGACCCAAGGATTGATTTGCTGGACGAGGATCTCCATTGTGTAGGCAGGGTCAGACGCCACCGATTGATGTGTAGTCTAGCTGTCCTGTCGTGTTCTCTGTGGTTTGATCTCTCCGTCGCGAGCTCTAAAAGACGGGGGAAGGCATTGCCGCAGGGGTCGGAGCTGAGTCAGAATGCTGAATGGTGAGCATCTCTGTCGGCTCAAGCTAGCCGTTTTGACAAGAAGAAGGGGTTACGCAGTCTATGAGGAGTTGACGAAGTTTGATCCGTCTATATATGATGCTCGAGGTGTCCGTGCATGTTCCAAGGAGAGAGTCCGTGTGCGAAGGAGGGAGGAGGGAGGTCTTGCAGCTCGATGCATGACAGTCCGCAGCGAGTCAATGTTCCGAATGAAGGGGCGAAGTTCTATGGATCTATCCAGAGCAAGTGGCCGGTCTTGTCGCGGCTGAAGACAAAGCGGAGCGTGGTGGGAGAAGATGCACGGTGGGCGGGATGAATCAACGATGAGCTTAGCAGCGACCAGCGCTGCCAGCACACGCAAAGTGGGAGTGGGCGATGTGATGGTGGGCAGAAGACAAAAGGAGCAGCGCCGAGCTCTTCATCTCAAAGGCTGAGCCAATCTTGTTGTTCTTTGATATCACTGTGATTCGTCAAAGAGCATCACATCTTCTCATCATCGTCACTTTACGCGATAAGCCCCACCTCGCGTCCAAGAACGCTCTAAAAATTTCAGTCGAGGCGACCGATTCAGGGTCCAACACCTTTCAAACGTCCAAGGACAGGCCTCGCACGGACATGAGCAACCTCTGCACCGTTAAGCTCTTGCTCGTCAAGCTTTTCTCATCACATCAGAAGTTAGTCAACGTCAAGGCTGGCATCTGCGCTGCCAAGACTGAATCACATTGTAGAACAGCCTTCGACCGACTTCGCTTCACATGACGAGGCAGTCCTTCTTGTCGTCCTTGCCCGCCTTTGTCTTTTTGCCTTTGAGCTTGTTGAGACCCTTGCCGCTGCTGTTGCTGCCGTCCTGCTTGTGACCATACAGATCGTCTTGCACCTGATTGTGGACTGTCTCTGGCTGATAGGGTGCTGCTGGCGGAGGCGCTACTGCGCTTCCTGAAGGTGCTGCCGTTGTTGCTGCGCCGTTGTGTGCGTTCTTGTAGGATGCGCCCCTGACAAACGACGAGAAGCGCGTCTTCTTGACTCGACTGGCGCTGCTCCCGGTTGCGTTTGCATTGATACCCGCAGCGCCGATACGAGGTGGGTCGGCCAAGTCGACTCGCCACACGCCGCGCAGCGAGTTGCAGAGCCAGATGTGCGCAGAGCCCTCGCGCACTTGACGAACAAGCTCGTCCAGCTCGACGTCGGCTTCTTCCACCAGCCCTTTGTTGACCAGCCAGCGGCGCAAGAGGCCGTCGAGCATGCCTGTCGATGTGCGCGGAGTTACAAAGCGCGATTGAACTCCTGCCGGGGAGACCTGCTCGACAAGCACGTTGGCCAGACTCGACTCGGTCACCAGCCGGGTCGGCGCAGTCACAGAGCTAGCTTCTTCTAGCATCTCCGTCTGCTCGTCGTTCCACAGAATCACATCAAAGCATCTGTCGTCCGTCTCGCGCACTCCGCTGAGCACACTTGGGTCCGCACCAACTCGCTGCTTGGCAGCCTCGTAGAATCCACGTGCGTCCGTCTTGTTGAACACAATCGGCTCCAAGTCCATCGTGCGCACGCGTGTCGGCATAAAGTCGAGTCGAACACTGGGTGGGCGTGTTGTGCTGAGACCGTCGTCGAGGGTGCTTGGGAAAGGTGTGATGTTGCGCTGCGTGACACGGATCCCTCCGTCCCTTGAGATTGCCACTCGGATGCCCTTGACCTGGCCCTGCGTCGCGTTTCCGACCTCGGAAGAGGCCAGACTCGCCTCGATGGCTTCCAGAATCCGCTCTGGTTGCAGCGACCGTTCTTGTTCCAGCAGCGGCATGGACCAGACAGCAGAGTACGCACGGCACATGGCGCCCGCCGATGTCTTGAGACGCTCCAGGTGCTGATCCAGCAGAGGTACATGATGGTACAGTCGATGCTTGATCGGGGGTGCAGCGCTGGTGAGGAAGGGATTGGTCGGGTGGGATGCTGGAGGCGCGATCGCGGCCGACTCGGTGGCGTTCAGGAATGGGTTTGTTGATTGGCTGGTCGGCACCGTCTGAGAAGCACCTGCTTCACCAAGTGACAGATTCTGCAGACCATTGAGCAGTCCTGCGTGGTCGATGCGAAGGCGTGCAGGGATCAAGGTCGACACTACCAGCGCATCTCCTTCTTCTTGCTTTGCGTTCACCTCGTAGCGCATCGTGGTGAACACCTCGTTCGGCGCCTCAAACGCTGGCTGAGGAGCAGGCGCCATGCTGCTGCGTTGACCTTGCGCCAATCCTTGCTGAGATACTTGCTGAGATCGTCGGTCTCGTCTCCTCTGCTGTCGCTCGAGTCGATCCTGGTCGTTGTGATATATCTGCATCGCCAGCGCGTAGTCTGCATCTTCATTCTGCTGGAGACCCGCGCCTCCCCCAGGTCCTCCGAGACCATCTGCATCGCGTCCGACATAGTCTCCTTGCCGCATGGTCGACTTGTGGAACTTGCCGTCGTAGAACTCGCTGCTTGCACCGTCGACATCCACCAGGCTCTCCCAGACGATCTCGTCCTCCATCAAGAAGCTCGCGTCGGTTGCCAGCGTGAATAGCGTCGGTGGTGGCTGTGTCGCTCCGTCAGCCGCTACGTCTGTGCCTTCGTTAGGCAGTCGCTTGTATAGCACCGACAGGTGCGAGTTGCGGAAGAGAGCGACTGGCTGTCCAGCTGGGATCTCTTGGGCCAAGACGAAGAGGCCATGGTACGTGAGCTGGGTCGATTGCGTCTCGAGGAACGACTGGAGAGCGAGTGCCTGACGCACTGTGGTCCTTTGCTCGTCTGACCAAGCCTGACGTTCGGGCTGCTTGCCGTTTGAGGCCGACGACTCGCTCGCCAGCTTTGCTGCCAGCAGACCGACTCCGCGATCGCGTACGACGGCACCCTCCGCGATCTCGTCACCGCGCACAAGAATGTCGGTAGCCTTGTTGTAGCTACCGGCCGCCTGCACCGCTTGAAAGGTCGGTGCATCTGCAGGATCCGGAAGCCATCCATGCACCAGAGGTACGCCGCACAGCCTGAACAGAGCCAGCTCTCCCGCACCCCCATCGTTAGCCGCCGTCGCAGCAAAAGACGTGATCGAGTTGAACCCGACATCCACGTCCAGACCATACTGCGTTCGAGGCAGGGTGCTAAGCGCTGCTTCCAGTCCTTCGCCTCCGAATCCTTCCGTTCCGACTTTGGTGAGCAGGTGTTCGGCGAGGAGCTGACTGAGATAGCTGTAGCTCACCACGGGTCGATCTGGCGGCGTGATCTGGAGCTCTCCCCGCAGTAGCAAGATGTTGCAGAGAGCGATGAGTGAGCAGGGTCCGTTCTGATTTTGTGTGATGATCTTGCACTCGCGTCCTCGCCAGAAGATGTCCTTGAGCGACCATTGAGCTTCTTCTGCTCCTGCACCTGACGGTATCGATGTGGAAGGCGGTGGTTGAGACGATGCTGCGGTGGCCATTGCTGTGTAGTTCTGAGGCCCAGACGAAGCAGTTGTGGCTGCTCCGTTAGCGCCATTGGTGTGTCCGCTGTGGTAGCTGGCTGATTGAAAAGCAGCAGCTCCGGCGTCTGCGGCACCCGCACCAGCAGCAGCGCTGCCTCCGCCGTTCATGTTGTCGGCTAGCTTTTGGAAGGCAGAAGAGGTATAGAGAGCGTGCGTAAGATTTTAGCTTTGAGTAAGATTCGACGACTCGGTGCAAAGCCAGATGATGATGCAGGTGGTAAGAGAAGGTGTGCGATGATGAGGAGAATGAAAGGGATGCAGGGTGTCCAACCACCGTGTTGGGCACAGCCCTGGGGACGCACACGCCAAGCTGTGCTATGAGCTTATGAGCTGATCAGGGTCTTGGCATCAGCTGGGAATTTCCACCTTCCGCGTTCCGAACAAGACTTTGGCGGATAAAGACCCTTGGTAACCTTCTCTCACAGCCTACGGCATCATCCGGAACGACCTTTCCGATGGCTCGCACAGCACACGTCACGCTTTGAACAAGCCCCGTGTCGATTGCAGTCTACTCGATGACAAAAGCTTGACCACTAAGCGGCACCTGCACTGCCATTCTCGCCAGCTGCACCCCCGTTGAGATCCGTGACGCCTTCCATGACGCTGACTCCACCCATGAGCAGTCCAATGTCGAGCTCGCTCAACGAGGCGGGCCCACCCGCACTTCCAGGCGAGCTCAGACCAGGCGATGCCAGCGCTGTCGCACCTCTGCCGTTGAGATGGCTCGGTAACATCCTACCAACAGAACCTGGGGTCCCCGCGGTGTTGAAGCCAGGCGACATGCTCGTGCCGCCATTGCCACTGGGATGGAGCGGTTGAGGCGTTGTGCCCGGTTGAGAGAGCCAGTCGAAATTCGAAAGGAAGTATTGCATCCATTCGTCGCGCTCGTTGGCGTAGCTCTTGCCCTCGTTGTACGCTGCATCGGGTGCCATTGTTGCGCTCGGGGTGTTGCCCGACTGAGGCCTGTAGGCTGGGCTTGCAGAAGAAGATGATGGACCGACGAGCGAGGCGACCGATAGATCCATGGCCGGGTTGTTGCCTGAAATACCTGCGGAGCCAAGGCGGTGCAGAGAGGTCGGGGCCACATTGGGTGTGCTCGAGCCGTCTTCTCCACTTCCGTCCTCATCAGCTGCTGCTGTACCTCGTTCCGAGCTGGTCGAGAAGGTCGACGTGAGCCGGCTACGAGGCAGTCTGCTGGCTGCATCTGCCGAGCTGTTCACCGTGCTGTTGCCGCCATTTGGAGATGCTGCCGATGCCGCAGCAGCCGCCGCCACGCTCTTGCTACGAGCGGCGTTCTGATCGTTCACCTTGGAGCTCGCTGATTGCCCGGCTGCTGCTCTGACCACCTGCCGCGCCAACACCACCAAGTCCCTTGCCTTTTGCAGCGACGCCGTGGTGCCGTGATCCGCGTAGATTCGCTCCTTCTTCTCCAGGTACTTGATCGCCCTGTCGATCGAAGCCAAATACCCGAACGCAAGCTCCTGGTTGCTCGGGTCGCACAGGATGGCTGCCAACACAATGGTGCACGCCGAGTCGAGATAGAAGCTGCCGAAGCGCATGTTATCGAGACCTGGTCGTGGCATGTCGCTCCTTGCATTCGAGATGGCGTCAATCAGCTGCTGACCCGCGCGAGCAGAGCTGTGCGTCTTGTCGAGCACGCTTCGGGGGATGTCGGTTCCAATCGAGCGGCAGTACAGCGCAAAGATGACGAGCGGGCTGTGTATGAGCAGACGCAAATACCACCACAGGATGGTGACAGAGTAGCGGCGCACCACCAGATCAGACGAATCGGAGTCGTCGTCTGCATCGCGACTGAACCCATCGCGCAGTCCGATTGCAAGCTCTCTGGGCGCCTCGTGGCGGATGCGCAGCATCTCTGCCTCCATGCGTTCGGATGCGAGCAGAACGTCGTGGGCGTTAGCCGGCGGGTTGGCGGAGAGTCTGCTCATGTCCGAGCAGATACGTGCGATCTGGGCGTATACGAGCAAGTAGGCGTCGTGCGAGTTGTCAGGTTGCGGCAAGCGCGCCGAGACGTCGTCGTCGCGGATTGCGGACGCCTGACCGAACCAGGTCGAGATCATCCTCTCGATTCCATAGCATGTCCACCACAGCTGTTGGTGTTCCGCACTCCGTGGATTGTTTGGCGAGTAGAACGTCTCGCGGTGAAGCCCTATTGAGATGCACATGCGTGCTGCATAGCCGATGTAGAGGTAGGCAACGTTGGGACTTGACCACTGGAGTGAGAAGAAGCTCATGAGCACGAGACAGCGTGCGCTTTGGATGCTCGAGTTCTCGACAATCTCTTCGAGACGCTTCTTTGCGAGAAGAAAGAGAGTTGTGGCGCAAGCGATGGCACCTTCTCGAGTAAGCGAGACTGGCGCGAAGCAGTCTTCCCAATCTCCTTCGTCCATCAAAGCACCCAACGCAAGGACGACATAGAGCGCCGCCAACTCGTTGGTACGCATTGGAGCGGGACCGAGCTTCTGGCCCGCTGGAGCATTGCCAGGACCCGATGCGGCCATGGAAGGGACACCGGAGAAGCCACGTGAGAGGTAGCCGAGGGCTTTAGCATCCTTGACCCACTTGACGATCTGCCGTTTGGGCACTGCACCGAGCTGTGGCTGGATGAGCGTCATGTAGTTCTCGATGAAGCGATCGACGATGGACGGCGGCAGGAAGGTCGAGTCGCCGACGGCGTCTTTGCAGGCATCCAGGGTGGGGAAGGACTTGTCTGACAAAGTCTGTCGGAAGATGATATCTTGGTGGCCCCAGAGCTTCATACTCTCGGGAAGATGAGATGAGCGACGACCCTTGTCTCCGCCTACTGATGTGCCATTGGTCGCAGACGATGGCCCTCCTCTAGACGAACCGCTGCTTGTTGCGTGCTGATGTTGCTCGCGCAATCGGAGCGCTTCTACGGTCTGTGCTAGCCGGTGCTGGAAGTTGAAATTGGATGTAAAGCCGTAGAACTGCATGTTGCCCGTGTTCTGGTCGTGCGCACGAATGCCATCTTCTGTGTGTAGGTCGGTGTCGTGGCCTGCGGGCTCATCCTGGTCGACGGAGGCGTAGAGCTCGAGATGATGCTGAACGTAGCCAGACTTGCGCGCGTTGTTGGAGGAGCGTGAAGGCAGTCTGTCACCCCATCGACGGTCTGCAATCTGATCAATCATGGCCCGCTTCTGGCGCTTCGCAGCTCTTGCCTGGGCAGCAGCGTCAGCAGGATTGGCAGCCGAGGCATCGTCGCTGTCGTCATCATCGTTGTTGTCTCTGCCTTGCGAACCACGACCAGCATTGGGAATCGAGGATGATGAACCGGTCCGACTGACACGTTTGGGAGCGGGCGATTCGATGGTCTCGTACTTGCACTCCGCCGAGTGGGCCTTGCAGCGATCGCACGGCTGCTCGCCGTTGCACTTTGTCTTGCGAAGACGACAGACGATGCAAGCTTTGGACACGCGGAAGCGCTTGAAGCCGTAGTCGGCGGCGTCGGCGGACGACATTGTGAACGGTTTGGAAGCGGACAGCAGTAAGAGCGTGCTAGAGACCGGATTGTGTACGTTGAGGACCGGCAAGAGCTGGATGAAAGATGAAAGGAGAGTGGCTTAGGCGGATTGCATCGAGTCGATGTGCATTGCCGGCTGTTTTTGACCGTGAGAGCTCCTTGCTGGCCTCAAGCTGGCCATCGAATGAGGTTCTGTCGAGTATTATACTGACACTCTACGAGGATGGTTGCAAGACCCGAGCGTGTGCTTGTTCGGGTGGATGCTGGATGCTGACTGGATGAGATTCAGATGGGCGGACTCGAGCGAGAGTTGCTCAAGGTTGAATCGTAAGTCGAAGCCTGGCTGCGTGTATTATACGAGGAACGAAAGCTCGAAAGCCAGAGTGAATGCCAAAGGAAGCGTGGCGCAATTGCTGCTGGAGGTACACGGTTGCTGATAAGTCTCTGGCAAGAATCGAGGGCCGATTCGTGAGTAGCCACTTCTAACGACGTAAGCGCTTGAAGCTTGTTGGAGGTGAATGCGAGCAACACGCGGAACGCTGACGAATTGTGGCTGGACGTACAAGTTGCTGCTCCGCGATGATGCAGTCGAAGCTCCGGCGTGGTGCTTAGGACGTCGAGGAGAGAGGCGCCGGCAAAGATGAAGGAAGGAGATGATCAAGCCTGGCTCGTTCACGAAAAGGTTAATTCGCGCGCTTCTTCCAGCAACGGCGAACGGGTCAAAGAAGCACTCGAGCCGAGATAAGGCTTGAGGCCCAATTGACCGGCTGATGTGCATCTCAGCAAGACCCTGACTGGGACCCTGAGAGGCCATCTTGACCCCACGTCCTATTCGCCGTCAACCATTCTGCTGGACAAGCTCAAAGCAAGAGCAAGCCATGCTGGATCACCTGAGCGCGCATCGAGATCTTATCTTGACCTCCTCTGGTTGATCTCGTCGGCGTTGGGCGTCATCAAGCGCATGGCTGTCTATTTGCTAGCATCGATGCCGGGTCATGGTCAATTGCTATATATTTACAAAAAGTGGCCGCCTCTCCAGCGAGCTTCTTTAGCTCAGTTGGTACGAGCGTCCGACTGAAGAATTCAGTTTCACCAGTCGCCACTGTTTCCAGTGGACAAGGTATCGGGAGGTCACCTGTTCGACCCAGGTAAGGAGCATGTTTCTTTTTTTTCATTTTTCTCGTCCCTTCTTCGAGAAAAGCAAACTACAGAATGGCTCGAGGCGAAAGGAGAGCTTCACAGGCATGCGACTTCTTCGGAAGATGAGGCGCGATTGCGCGGCCGTCAACAGAAACAAATCGAGTCGGGGGGCAAGGTAGGTCGAAGAGACGAAAAAAGAAGGCTATGGAGACTGCATGAGTCGAACACGCGACCTTTCGCAAATTAGACAAAGTGCTAAGCGAACGCTCTACCAACTGAGCTAAACCCCCGATCGATGTGGAACTGATCTCTATTGCTTATATATACTTTCATCTGTTTCTGCAAGTAGGAAGCTCTTGACGCGAAGATCTCTCGCGATGGCGTGCCCTTTTAGCGCTTTCTCGCTTAGCCCCGTACCACCAGGCGCACTTAGATTATCGGCACATTGCGTGCTTGTACACCATCGCTGTTGGTGACCATGCTATGTGCCGTCGATGCTATCGTTCGGACGGCACGGTGGTCATGTTTCCCCGACGAGCAAATCCTTGGTGAAAGACGGTCGTATGGCTGGTCGTGGTCTTGCTGCCCGGTGTCCGTCTCGCTCTGAAGGATCTTAGTTGGGCAGTGGTCGACAGCGTGCGGTTCTCGCCTCGGGACCGCGAAGCAGACGTCTTGCGGAGAATAATGAGCTGTAGAGTGCGTCGAGCAGGTACGCAAGCATGCTTTGAGCACTGAACGGAGGGGAGCGCACTTTCTAGAAGCGCGGCTACATGGGCAGCGTCAACCCGGAACGGGCCGCTGTCATTCATCCGCGCCCGCCGAAGGGACAGTGGCGACGGCGGCAAAGCTTCTAAGGGTGCGATCAAGCACACCATTGTCTTGTGCACACCCTTTCAGCGGTACGCGGTACCACCGGGTTGCATCTGACTTGCAAACCCCGCCGGGACCCTTTTTACGGCGCGCCTGCCAAATTGCGCAAGAACGCTTGGATGTCGCCATCTGCGTTGGTCTCACGTCAAATTGTGCTTCTGCATATTTCTCCGTCCTGCCTTGCCTGCCCTTTGAACGCACGTTGTTCTTTCCTATCCTCAGACGGGGCCATGCGGGGTTTACGAACGTTCTGTTCGCAATCTGTTTTGCAATCGCCGCACTCCGCCGTTCAGCTTTATCAGCGGCAAACGATGCGGGACTCTCACAGTGGCTGCCATCCCTTGTGAGAATCATTCAGCATTCTTCCATTTCTCGAGTCGGGGCGGCAAGTAAAGCTACCTTCGCGGCTCTGCTTCCGCCTCGTTGCCCTCATCCCTCCGCCTGGGACCGATGCACGCAATGCTCCAAGCGATATTCGCAACGCAGATTCGTATCCTTTCACGATCCGCGCTTGTGCGACCTTGCCCTTTTCATGCAGGACGAAACGATCCGAGATGGGAGTGCTGCATGAAAGGGTGGTGCCTGAATCTGCTTGCGATGTTTGCAGCGGTGCGCGAGAGGTGTTTGAGAAGAACAGTCATGCAGGTTGAGTGGCGATGTTCCGTCCCGCGTAGTGTCGCTTCCACTCCGTCTTATATAGCGCTACCTCTCCTTCATCCAACCGCCTCCTTCTTCCCCTCTGCCATCTGCTTCTTCAAGCATCCTACGTCTCCCCATCTCCTCCACCCTCCGTCACCTCTCCAAAATGGCGGCAGATTCAATCCCACCCCCGCTCTCCCAGGGCGTCGGGTACGGCGTCGTCCTCGGCTTCGGGTTCGCCTTTGCGGCCGTGATGGCCTACATCACCCGCCTCCTATGGCGCTTTAATGGGGAGAACAATGCGCATTTCGAAACCTACGCGACCGCAGGTCGAAAGGTGGGCACGGGTCTCACGGCCACAGCTGTCTTTTCCTCCTGGGCTTGGTCCACCGCGCTCCTCTCTTCGTCCCTCGTCACGTTTATCTATGGTCTTGCTGGTACGTTTATCTCTTTCTTACCTCATACATACGTTCACAACTGACTCAGCTTTAAGATTGGTTCGAATGGATAGGTGCATACTGGTTTGCTGCCGGTTGTCTCGTGCAGATCTCCGCCTTTGCCCTTCTCGCCATCCAGAGCAAGCTCAAGACCCCGCACGCGCACACGATTCTCGAAGTCGTTAAAGTCCGCTATGGCACCTTCGCCCATTGGCTGTACATGTTCTTCTGTCTCGCCAACAACACTATCGCGGTCGCCAACATGCTCCTTGGCGCGTCGGCGACCGTCTCCGCGTTGACGGGGATGCACATTATCGCCTCAACGTTCCTCCTTCCCGTGGGGGTGTGTTTGTACACCATCTCTGGTGGACTCAAGGCGACTTTCCTCACGGATTGGATGCACAGTGTTGCACTGCTCATCATTGTGCTCTTCCTGACGCTCAAGACGCTCTCCAACGACGCGGTGCGCAGCCCGGCTCATCTGTGGGAGATCGTCGTTGAGGCCAATGCTGCCACCAAGATCGCCGGCAACTTCAACGGTTCCGTCCTCACCATGACATCCAAGGGCGCGGTGGAGTTCGGGATTTTGCATACGCTCGGCAACTTCGGTCTTGTCGTCATGGACAGCTCCTACTGGCAAAAGAGTTATTCGGCGGACATCGCCGCCGCTGTTCCCGGTTACATTCTGGGTGGCGTGCTGTACTTCGGTCTTCCTTGGTGTCTCGGTACGGTGATGGGACTTGCGGGATGGGCGTTGCAGACGAACCCTGTGTGGCCTGCTTACGGTCGCGCTCTTTCGGCTACCGAGCTGTCTTCCGGTCTTCCCCTCGGATATGCCGCCCTGGCGGTCGCCGGTAAGGGCGGTGCGGTCGCAGTGGTGATCCTCATCTTCATGGCAGTCACCTCGACCACTTCGGCCCAACTCATCGCAGTATCGAGCATCGTATCCTCCGACGTCTACCACACTTACATCCGTCCCACCGCAACCGACGCCCAAGTCATCCGCGTCTCCCGAATCGCCTGCATCGCCTTCGCCATCTTCGCCTCCGCCTTCAGCACCATGCTCTACTACGTCGGCATCGACCTGACGTGGACGCTCTACTTCCTCGGTCTCATCACCTGTCCAGCGATGGTGACGTTGCCACTGACGGTGCTGTGGAGGCGTCAGACGTGGTATGCTGCGGTGATTGCGCCTGTGGTTGGCATGCTGGCTGGTTTGGGAACTTGGTTGGGTACCGCCAGCGTCTACGGTGGTGGTGTGTTGGATGTAACCACCACCGGTGCACTGTTGCCGTGCATGTGGGGAACCATCGTCGCCGCTTTCCTCCCCGCCATCCTCTCGCCCCTCATCACCTTCGCCTACCCACAGGACAACTTCGAATGGGAGCGATTCAACGATATCAAACTCATCCAAGACGACGGCTCCACCAACAGTTCTCGCGACGACCTCAAGAACACCGATGCCGAAAATCTGACGACTCTCGGTGGCACTCCCGTCGGCAACCCCGCCTCGCGAGATCATCCCTACAGCGACGCCGAAATCCGCTTTATGAACCACCAGTCCCGCATCGCGGGCATCACCGGCCTCGTCCTCTTCCTCGCAGTCTGGGTGCTTTGGCCCTTCATCATGTATGCGGCCAAGTACGGGTTCAGTCGCGATTTCTTTGTTGGATGGGTGGTGGTGGCGATCATCTGGGCTTTCGCGGCGCTGTTGATCTTTACTTTCTTGCCGCTGTGGGAGGGCAGAGGGTTGATTGTCAAGATTGTTGGCGGCGTGCTCAGCGGGAAGAAGGGAGAAGAGGGGAGGAGCGAGCAGAGGACGGGAGAGGAGAACAGGGTGACCAGTGAGGAGGGCAAGGTGGAGAAGCCAGGTGCCAGCGTGCTGTCTTCCACGGGAAGCGAGGAGAAGCACGTTCAGCTGCAGTAGAGGCGATGATGCTCCGACGTAATCGTATCACATCCTTGTCCCTTGCTTTGACCGAATCCTAGACGCTTTCTCTATCCGCTCATCTCGAAGGCTGTGTCAAGATGCGTTCCGATGAGGGCGAGCCATGACAAGACAGACATGCGTGTGCATTCAATGCAGAATTGTGTGTGTCGTACGCAGTGCCACTCCAGCTGAGAAGGTCGAGTGAAGCGGATTGCCTCTCGCAGATCACGCTCTTGATGCTGATCCATCCCTGCGAAGCTGCTCTCGGGCAAGAAAGTTGACATGTCAGTGTTTTCTGCGAACATCGTCGACTTTGCGTGTCATCAGTGGCGCTGATCAGTACCTACGCGAAGTTCTCCGCATGCGACTCGCCTGATGAAGTCCATCGCCTTGATTCCAGACAAGACGCCGTCCAGCTGTGGACCAAGGTTGAGCCGCAGCAGCCGTCTGAGTTTGGCGCCAGACGTGTCATCCCAGTGAAACACCTCGACGGCGAGTCTAGCGGCACGGTAGCTTGGATCAGAGATTTCGCCCTTGTACAGAGCCACGATCACGCCGACTGCATCGCAGATGAGGTCCTCGCTGGTACAATCGGGCTGGGCGATGCAGGCTTGGTTTCGGTAGACGTTCGATGCCTGAGCATGCGGACTCGTGTCATTGTACGCGGGCGGAGGATTGAGGCGATTAGAATCGGCGGCTGCCTTTGAGCGGAGGACGGGGGGCATGCTGACGAGGTGTCGATGTGCTTTTGTTTGGTGTGGGAAGGTGGGGCTCTGTAGAGCAATGACAGTCGAGATATGGCTAGGAAGGAAGGCGCTCAGCCTGCCGTAGTCGAGCCTATATGCTCAAGACAGCACAGACCAGCTGTCGAATCGCAGAGCGAAGTCGGCTGAATCATCTCCTCGCCGTCGCACAGTCCATCATCACACGTCGCACAGCCATCGTCTCTTCGTCCCATTCGATCTATTGCCCCCTTCTCAATCACCATCCTTCCCCTGCCCATCGTACAACCCGTCCAAGGCGCCCATCCACCCCTCTCGATCCTTCGCGTCCCTCGCCTGCAAAAAGTAACTATTGTTACTCGTGTACACCCCGAAGACGTTCTCCTTGCCGAGCATCCTTTCGATGTTTTCATCATGCTCGACGCGCACCGAGGCGACGTGGATGACCATGATCTCTTCGAGTTCGGCGTTGGACTCGTAGACGTAGAGGTAGGGGCGACGGAGGGCGAACCAGCGACGCACCCACGCGTCGGCGAGGGACATGGAGAGGTGGCCCCGGTGCGAGGTGGTGTCTGTGCGCGGAACGAGGGATACGATGGCGGTGAGCTTGGGGGTGGGGGTGAAGGCGGGGAGGAGGGCCGAGTTCGAGGTGTTGGACGAGGTGCGGTCGAGTTTGGTCGGAGATGCGGAGGGAGTGGTGTCGATGCCCAGTCCGTTCGCATCGTCGGTGTCGGGAGTGGGGGGCGAGAACATGCCTGCTAGCCCATTGGCTCCTTTTCCGCGAGCAACTTCGCTGTCATCACCATTGGCACTGGGCTGTTCCGCAATGACCACCTGCATCTTTGCATCCCGCACTGCGCGCTGCCACATCCTCACCACCCTGTCCAATAACTCTAGTCTTCCTTCATCGTGCTCGTCCCTTGCACTGGCCGCGGGAGGATGAGCCTTCAACATCGCCCTCACACCCTCGACATCTGCCCTCCTGCTCTGCTTCCTCACCAACTCCTCATGATCCTTGACCAGACTCACACCCCTCGCCTTCCACCCCTTCAGCGCCTCCTGACCCCGAACATACTTCTTGGCCGTATCCAACCTCCACAGATCCGCCGTCTTCTTCGTCATCGGTGGCACCAACTTGACGCTGAAAATCGCACTCGTCTTCGTCAGCGTCCGCGCGCCGCTCGTGGCAGACTCGATGTAACCCCACAACCGTCCTGGTGGCTTTGCGTCGCGTGGATTGATCGACACGGCCAGATCCATGGAAAAGGCCACAGGCGTGGCGCAGCGATCGACCTCGACATCGAAGCTGAGTCGCATCAGCACCCGGTGCCCGCTTGCCGTGGTGCGATTGAGATTGATGCTGTCGTGCACACTGCTGTCCCACCAGGCCCAGAGACTGAGCTCGCTCGTGCCGTCGTTGGGGAACTCGAGCGTCTGCTGCTTGACCGGTGCCTTGAGCTGGATGGTGTCGGAGGATTTACCGCCGTGCATGCGACCTCTTGCGTCCAGCAGTTGGACGTCGCCGAGTTCGAGCTTGGTCACTTTGCTCCATGCAAATTGTCTGCCCGAATCATGCGCCAAGTGCATCACGAGCTTCCGCTGCAACCCCTGCCGCAGGAAGAAAGACCCCGGATCGAGAGCCGACTGAGCCCGCACAGGGACGGGAAGATACTCGCCGGAAGAATCCAGCTCGCAGATCTGCACAGAGGCCAGGATGTGGTGTCGCTCCTCGCCGCGCATCTCGTTCTCCGACAGTCGCTCCTTCATCGTCTTGGACATGGTCTTGAGACCGGTCCTGGTCAGCCCTGCCGCTCCGTCTTCACCATTGATCGCGTGGAGCGGTGCGAAGCCGTTTGCTTGCGGATCTTGACTCTCTCGAGTGTTGTCGTGCTGCTCCAAGGCGACCAAGTACTGCGGTCTGACCTTGGCATACAGCTCGATAGGTGCCGATCCACTGCGCAGCCACTCGATCGATTCTGGTGTCAGCACGAACGACACCGTCCTACGCAGTCGCAGTTCAGCGATCGAGTCTTCGCCGACGAGATCGACCGGCACTGAGGTGTAGATCTCGTCCTTGCCGAGTGCGTTGCCGGCAAACGAGCTGAGCTTGACCTGAAGATGAACGCTTGCGAAGTCTTCCCTTGAGATGCCCGAGACGGAATCCACCAGGATCTGAAAGCCCAGCTTCTGACCTACCGGCAGATCTGCCGCAGTGCCACCGGTAGACGACGAAGGGGTGGGCGAGCTGGGGCCACGCGGAGACCCGCTGGGCGCCGACAAGCTCGCCCTTTCTCTCCCTGACATAGGCACCGGTGCCAGACTGACAAACTTGAGCGACACCGAGCACGATCCGATCTGCTGCCCTGTATGCCGGTCGTGCAACGGCAGTCGGTACTTTGTCGACACTTGCTTCGACAGCGCGTGGAGCGGAACCAAGGTGCTCGCCACGAAGGCATATGTCGGATGTGGCGCCTCGTAGAACGGGTCGGACCAGTTGAAGTGCCGCGAATACTCGGGCTTGTCGACAAACGTGTAGAGGTTGCGCATTTTCTGCAGACGCTGTTCAAACTTGGGCATCGACCAGACGTAGCACGTCGAGTGGATGTAGTCGAGCACCTTGATACCCATGCAGGGCTTGGCGCACGAGGCGAGGTCCGGGTCGGACACGTCGTCGAACTCGGTCAATCCCGCGATGGCCTCGACACCTGAATTGGGGACCGCGAGAGGAAAGTCGTCGACGACAGTGTACTGGTAGGTGACGCGTTTGCCCAGCTCCTTGCTGATGACGTTGGCTTCTTTGACGAGGACCGCTTTCGAAAGAGCATCTTCGGCCATCGACACCTTGGTGTGACCCCTCCATTTTGCGAGTGCTTTGCGGAGCAGCTCCTTCTGTGCGTCGCTATACTCGAACGGTGCATCTCCGAGTCGCAGCGAGCCAAGCGACGGAGAGCCAAAGTTCATACGAGTGATCTGTTGCTCGTATTCGCGCACCTTGGCTCGCAGCGACTCTGTCTCCCGGTGGCTAGCGGCCATCACAGCCGGCGAGGCTGCTCCCGACTCGCTGTACGCACCGTTCTTGATGGGTGTCCCCGGACCGAAACGCATGGATCCCATCTCGCTCCCCGCCTGACTCCACGGGTCAATGCTCGTATCATCCGTCATGGCACCGTACGAGTACGGTCTGACCACTGAACTCGCCGACTCGCTGGCATTGTCGTCGAACAGACTCGCTCTGCTCTCTGGCCGACCCAGAGCGCTTCCCATCGACTTTTTCGAGCGTGCTCTCGAGATATCCTCGAACAGCTTCTCCAGATCTTCCTCGTTGAGATTGTCGAAGTTGACGTTCTGTCCGTTGAGCTTGGACATGGCGTACTCGCGACGGGCGTAGGTCCAGTCGACGTCCCCTGACGCAGGCGAGTCAGGTCGAGTAGCGGGCAGATCGCCATCGACCAGCGTCTCGTTCTGTGCGTCGCCCGTTGACATGGCCAAGGTGGAGCGTACGCGATCTCGAGCCTTGCGCACTTCCTCGGGATGGTTGAATCGGAAGACATGAAAGTCGCCGAGAATGACTCGATACCCGGACCGCAACCTCTTCGGCTCGTCCGGCGACAATCGCTTGCCGTTGACCATGGTCATACTGTCAGCCAGGGCCGTCACCGTGACCGATCCATCTTGATTGTCGAACATGCAGTGTTTGGTAAGGATCTTGGTGCCGCTGAGCTTGATGTGCACGTCGGGCCCGCTTTCGAGGTTGCCCACCAGTGTTTGACCAGGCTTGATCTGGTAGATCAGGCATTCCGACATGAGCGGGTCCTCGTTCAGGTTGACCAAGTGAGGCAGCTTCTTGGGCGTGTGAACACCGACATTGCCCTTGTCCACCGAGATGCCCAGCTCCTCCAGCGCCTTCTCCCTCTCCACCTGGATCTCGTGCGTCTTGGCGAGCTTCTCCTCCCAGCTCTCGTTGAGACTGCTCATGATCTTCTCGCTCTGCTCGAGCTGATCCTGCAATTCCGCCTTGGTGACGGTCTTGATCTCTCCTGTTCTGGTCTGGTAGCGCACCACCTGCTTTTCGGGCGGTATTGACGGATCCCAGCTGCTCTCGCCGTGGACACCGCCGCCGCCAGAGACACGCGTGCGCAGCAGCTCCAGCTCCTCCTTGAGCTCGCGGATGAGCTTGGCATTGGGGTCTTCGTTGACCACGGCCTTGTTCTTGATCTTCTTGGCTTGGTCCGCGTATCGAAGTGTGCTGAGCGTCTCCTCGTAGTCGGCGGGGGAGATGGCAGCAATCATGGCGGTTTTGGAGTTGCCACCCAGACTGTCCTTGAGCAGCCAGGTAAGAACGGAGTCTCGATAGGGCACAAAGTTGTCGAGACTGGCCCCTTTTGGCTTCTTGCCTCCCTTGACGGGCGTTTCAACGCCTGACGCTGCCGCCAGAGCAGCAATGACTTTGCCAAGTGTGGTGAGCGAGCGATTGATGTTGGCACCTTCCTTGAGGCGAGCACCCGTAGCACCTGTGGAATTGGCACGTTCCGAACCGGCCAGATCGACGAGCGAAATGCGAGACACTTTCTCGGTCTCGAGCTTGGTCTCGACGTCGAGGCGCTTCTGTGTGAGGACGAGTGTGAAGACTGCGTGTGACCGCGAACTGGTCTCGTTCATTTGGGTCGCAGCCACGGTTCTGGCCTTGTTGCCTTCGTCCATCAGGTTCTCGATATCGCGAAAGCTGGACACGACCAGCTTGCTGAGATCCTCAACATACGGTCCCAGACTCGGATGCTCTCTGACTTTGAGATTACCCTTGTTCTTGGGGTTGAGCAGATCGCGCACCTTTTCGTTGTAGATCTCCATATAGCTGACCTCGACACTGATGGTGAGATTCTCGTCCGCCTCGGTCTTGTCGCGGATGTCGTCAAAGAGGCGAGAGCAGGTGAGTGGAGTGAGACCTTTGGCTTCCGCGTATCCGACCATGGAATGCGATTTGCCAGAGCCAGTCTGACCGTAAGCAAAGACACAAGTGTTGAATCCGTTGAATGCATGTTGAAGCAGCTCAACACCGATGTATTGGAAGAGCTCGTCCTGTTCTGTGTTCTCGTCGTAGGCTCTGTCGAAGGAGAAGGGCATCGACTTCTTCTTGGTGGCTTTGCTGGACTCTTTGCTGTCGCCTTCGCCTGGCGGCTGGAGTACGAGCTGATGGTGGTCGACAAACTCGATGAGATTGGATGCGCCTCGATTGCGTTCTCGCGAGTTCATGGGGCGACATCGCACCACGACCTTGATGTTGCCCGAGTCAGCCATGATAGCGGACTGGCGGTGTGAAGGTGGTCAATGCTGTGGTCAATGATGGCGACGGCGGGAGAATGTCGCTGCCGAGGGAGCGACCATGCGGTGCAGCGCGTCCAGTGAATGCGAGGCTCGGCAGTGTATCCAGTGATCCAAGGTACGGTATCTGGTCGCCCTGACTCGCTGCGACAGGATGGGTTCAGTCTAGCTGTCTCTGTACATGCGTATGAGATGAGGATGTAATTGTGTCGTGCTTATCGAGAATGAAGGTGCTGAGTTCGAGTCGTCCAATGTGGGACACGAATGAGGCTATCAAATGAAGGTGACTGGGAATGGATCCGGTGCAGAACAAAGTGAGCGAGAAGATAGAGGAGCGCGTTGGTAGAGCGAAGGAGGTCGGTGACGATGGTGATGATGGTGACGACGATGATGATGGCTGAGATGGATGCCCGAGCTGAGCGGTTGACTGCTCGTCAGGGTCTTGGGGATGGTCGAGCTAAGCATGGAGAGGATCGACAGAGCTGCAGCCAAATTCCACACTCGCGCACACGCACGCACACGCTTCTCACACATGCACAGCAACCGTGCTCAGCCAGAGACCAACACAGCAACACCTCAGCCAACCCACCAAGCCGAGATTTCCAGATTTAGACTTTCTTGACTGCTGTGCTGCCGGAGAAAAGGCGCGTGTGTACTGTATGTGGCCATCCAACTCCATGATCTTGGCACAGAGGAGTCCACCGTCACCATCACTTCATCCACATCGTGTCACTCACTCGCTTGCCGATGCCAACCTTCACACTGCCAAACGCGTCAACACTGAGTCGATCAAACTAGTGCGATCTAGGTACGAGCCGATACAAATACAAATATGAAAACAGTCCTAATGAGTCTGAGCTAGAGTGGTGGTGTACGGAATCACTTCTTGTTCTTCGAGGCCGAAGACTCCTCCATCGACCTCATCCATTGCTGGCGTTGCTTCTCCTCCATGTCGCCCTCGACCTGCTGCTGCATGTCGCCTTCCTGCCCGGCGAGTACATCCTTCAGATTCGTCTTGGCGCTGCCCCTCTTCAGTGGCTTGGGCTGGGTGGGTGCCGGGCTCCAACCGATCAGGAAGATCAATTGGAACGTTGCTGGCACTCCTCCTTCGCCCTCAGCGCCGCCCTCCTCGTTGCCGTGCATCGCTTGGTAGATGGCACCAGCGGCCAGCATCGTGTCCCGACGCAGCTGACCACGACGGTTGATGACCGCATTCGACTCGCCCATGTCGCGCAGATCGTGCATCAGCTCGTACATGCTCGGGTAGCCCACCGACACTTCGTCCACATCGACAGTGGGGATTGTGAATCCGGCACGAGACAGCAATGACGCCATATCACGCGTGTCGGCCATGGGCGAGATGCGTGGCGAGATGCCACCCTCTCGCTCCTGCTCGGCCAATTGCAGGCTGGTTCGCAACTCGAATAGCGTGTCGCCACCGCATAGTGCGGCGATGAACACGCCATCGGGTTTGAGGGCGCGTCGAATCTGGATCAGCACACCGGGAAGGTCGTTGGTCCAGTGCAAGCCACCGCTCACCACGACGCAGTCCAGCGTGCCCTCCTCGAATGGCAGCACTTCTTCGTCCAACACGCGACGTTCCACTTCGAACCCGAATTGCTCGTCGAGATGACGATCTCGGTTCAGCAGCGCCTCGCTCGTGTCGCACATGATGATCTTCTTGGTGCCGCAGCCCTGCGGGTCCAAATAGTGGCGCAGGAAGCCGGGCCCAGCACCGAGCTCGACGATGGTCGGGAAATCGCGCTTGATGTCCTGCACTCGATCTGCCAGCGATTCTGCGATAGCACGGCGCACGTAGTCGGTCTCCCGCGACGCATCGCCTCGAGTCGAGTCAGCTCCAAATTCGTGACCTTGCTCGGTGTGTGAGACGGAAGGTCGCACGGCCGCCCGGTCCTTCTGCAGTGTCTTGACCGCTCGGTCAAAGATGGTGAAGGGGCTGTTGGGCTTGGGCGGGCCGGGGGCGGGAGCAGCTGCACCACTGCCAGCCATCGTGGAGGCATGACGCACCGACATGGCACCCGCACCAGTCTGGGGGGTAATGGCCTCAGTGAAGGGAGCGCTGTACAGACCTGTGTGTCTCAATCGTGGAGATGTCTGTCCATAGGTAAAGCGACTGGCTGCCGAGACTACTTCAGGTACGGTAGCGTCCAAGCCCGCTCCAGCTTCGGCAAAGCTTGTGGCGGCGATACTCGATACGGTTGCATCAGAAACAAGCGCACGCGCACGCACAATGAGCGCCGGCGGGAAGGCGCGCGCTTCCATACGATCGACAAGAGCAGCAGCACGGCCAGAGTGACCATGGCTGAGCTCGGCTCGGATCATGGCTTCGTACGTCGAGGGTTCGCGCTGAATCCCTTCGAATGCGAAGCCAGCGTGGTAGGGCGCGCCAGTGCCAGAGAAGGGAGCCGGCGATGCAGATGCGTCGTCTTGAGCAGGAGCACCAGCACCGTGGGCTCGCGGTGGGTGATTGCCTACCGCGGCCACACCAGCAGCAGGCTCGCTCATGCTCTCAAACAGAGCACGAGCTTCGTCGAGTCCAGCGTGTCCTTGTTCCATCGAGTAACCGCGAATGAGCAGATTAGCGACGTACGCCGTCATCTTGACACCTGCATCCTGCATCCTCTGGAAGTGGGCTCGGATGAGATCGGTCCTGCCGTGCGCGACAAACACAGCAAGCAGCGCTTCGAATGCGACGGCATCCGGCAAGCTCGCTGCGTTCCTACGCCCTTGAGAGGATGGGTGTGAAGCGATCGAGTCAAAAGTCAAGATGGCGCGGTCGAGATCGTTGAGCATGCATCCGTAGCAGTTGATCAGTGAGGCCCAGTGCGTTCCTTGCACCGGCACCGAACGCCGGTTGGCGAGCTCGTTGAAAACGTGTTCCATCTCTCGTGACAGGACCGGCTCGATAGCTCCATATAGGTCTAGGAGCAGCTTGTACGTGTGCGCGCTCGGGTCGACCTGAGCTTCAAGCATCTTGTGGTAGTAGACCAGCGCCTTTTGACGATCCGGGACGCTCTGGATGTAGTACTGCATCATGGTGTTGTACGGCGGCACACGAGGCTTGAAGCTGGGGTCGTTCTCCATCTGCTCAAACATGCGCACAGCGCGCTGCTCGTCGCCGATGCGCGTGCAAGCGTTGATGACGGCGCCGTAGGTGACGCTGGTAGGCTTGATGCGGAAGTTGAGCGTCATTTCGTCGAACAGTTGCAGAGCACGATCGGCCTTGCGGGCGCGCGAAAGCTTGGAGATGACCGTGTTGAAGAGGTAGGCATTCGGGCGCACACCGAAACGCTGCGATTCGTCGAAGAGCTCCTGCGCAATCGAGGCATCGTCAGTCGTGTCACGGATCGTAGCGATGAGGGCGGCATACGAAGTCGCGGTAGGAGCGCCACCTGCGGCGATGATGCGATGTCGGTGCTGGGTCGCCTCCTCGGTCCGGCCGGCGTGGCTGAAAGCCTGCATCATGCTGTCTTCGACAACGAACCAGGCCTTGGCTTGCCAAGCCGGATCGCCGACCAAAGCATGCAAGACATGCTGTGCCATGGCGTAGAGCTCCTCCATACGGTCCACATTGTTGAGGCGGCCGAAAGCGCCGATCAAGGTTGCCAGACCTTCTGGGTGAGCGAAGTTGCCGACTTTCATCTGTTCCAAAACCTGCTCGTAGACACCCGGAGCCTCGTCTGGGCCGGACGGACGAGCGAGCGAGGTCAACAAGCCTCCGAAGTCAGTGTCGATCACCTGGACAGGCGGGAAGGAGAAGGGAGAGGCGGAGAATGTCGGTGCGGCGGGCAGGTCTTGGCGATGGAGAGGCGAGTGCTGTTGCGGCGGCGTGGTAGCGGGAGTTGATGCACTGAATCGAGAAGCTGAGCCTGCATCGCTGCTCGTCTCTTCGTTGGCGGTGATGGTGGTCGTCGTGTCGTTCGAATCTTCCTTTGCGGGTGTCGCCCAAGCGGGCAGCAGTGAGAGTGCTTCTTGTCCGTAACGGGTGAGTGTGACCTCGACTGCCTTCGCTGTGTCGACGGGTGGCCGTGTCAAGGCCCCTTCATCGCTGGAAGCCTGGGTAGCGGACAGCCTAGCAAGATCGTTGAGCACGACAGGAACGCCGTCGGTTCCGAAAGCCTCGAGACTGAGCGGGCGGATGTGGAGCTCCTCGAAGCAAAATGCTTCCAGGATCACATTCCAGCCATCAGCAGAGAGCGGCAGGCTGATTAGGACATCCGGCGACTGCGTGCGCACGTTTCGGTACAGCTTGGCAAGGGAAGCAGCAACCTGCTCATCGAGGAGGTTGGCATCGCGAAGCACAGGCGCGACGTACTCGGCGCTGGCGAGCAGCCGCACCGAAGCATGTTCAGCGTCGCCTGCGGCACCGTCAACGGCCATGAATCGAGAACTGAGCTGCGAAAGCTGGGCTCCCAACTCTTGGAAAGGATTGGTTGTCACGTCCATCGTCTGCAGGAAGAGGCGTACGTAGGTCAATGCAGAGCCGGCATCGACGACGCGATCAGCAGCGAGGAGGGCATCAGCGAGTGAGAGTACAGCAGCAGCGGCGTTGCGGGTCTTGCCCACTTGGCTGTAAGGGTCCAACTTGCTGAGCGACGCGGCTTCTTGTGCGAAGAACCTAGCAGAAGCGTCGAGGGCACGGTCAAGTGGAGCACTGGCCTCCTGTGCGGAGCCGGCCTGGAGAAGGCGCTGGGCACTGGCGACATTGGCGGAAACGACATCGATGTAAGGATTGATCTTTGCGTACTCCTGAGCCTCGGCACTTCGTTGGAGGTAGACGTGGAAAGCGCGCTGGAGCGGCTCGAGGTACTCATCTTGGCCGGACAGAGCGACGCTCCTGATGAGGTACCTCAGTGTCCGGCGATCCGGCAAAGGTAGCGAGGATGGCAGCGATGCATCAGCACCGTTTGCAGCTGAGCTGATCTGGTTGAACCAGTGCAGGGCGGCGGCAGTGTCTCGCGCATTGAGGAAGCCTTGAATCATGACGGAAGGGAGCACATGGTGGAGTGGCGGCACGCTGTCACCACCTTCAAGTATCCTCTCAAACAGCTTGACGGCGCCAGCGACATCGCCGAGCGCAAAGTGAGCCTCGATGAGCGAGGACCAGACGAGGACGTCGTCTTCGTGATCCCATCGTGGCTTCTGGCTGGCGAGCAAGAATTCGTCGAACACCTGCTTGCATGCGGCGAGCTTGCGGGCTTGCTGCATCTGTTGTGTCTCATCCGGCTTGAGCTGAGGATCCGAAACAAAAGTCTGGATGAGGTGCGTGAAGGTGAGAGCGTCGGTGTCGGCGAAGTCGCTTCGCTCGAGCAGGTCGAGCATGCTCAAGGCGCGGTCGACGTCGCCACGAAGAGCGCAGCTGGAGAGGACGGCATTGTAGGCTGCGGCGTCGTCGAACCACATCCGAGACTTATGTGCTACACTCGTGAGCTCGAGCGCTTGCACAAAGTGATCTTCCGAAGAAGCAGCCGTGTCGGGTAAATCCGAGGTCGAGGACGGTGTTGCAGAGGTTTCGGCGTCACGTGCACAGAGTGCCTTGACAAGGACGGTATAAGTGCGGCTGTTGGGGGAGTGGCCGGCTTGGATCATGTCGCTGTACACGTCGGTGATGCGCTTGAGGTTGTCGCCACCTTTGCGGATGGAGAGGAGCGACTCCATAGCCATGTTGAACCCTGCAGTGGTCTTTTGGTCCTTGGGGAGAGCGTAGAAAGCATCGATGCTGAGATTGACCCCGCCAGCATCCTTCCTCCTGGCGGCGTCTTGGAGGTCCTTGTAGACACGGTCATGCGCGTGTGTGGTGGATCGGTACATTCCGTTGTTGTCCGTGGTGTCGGTGAGGCTAGCCACGGTGGAAGCATATCGTTCGCTGCCGGCACCTTCGGGGTGGTTAATCGAAGCAGCATGCTCGGCAGATGTGACGAGCAGCGGACCCTGTTTCGCGGCGAAGGCATGGCGGAAGCGCACCTGCATCTGCGATTTGGTGAGGTGACCAGACGAGGCGAGCGTGGAGCGGTCGTGAGGGTGCTGGCCATCGAGACGAAGCTTGTAGGCTTTTTGCCTGCGAGCCTCATCGTCATCGTCGTTGCTCTTGTTGTTCGAGTCGGGATTGGACGTGGAGGATGCCTGAGAAAGAGCACGACCGGTGTGCTGATACGAGAAGTGAGCGCCTCGGCCGGCGTGGAACTTGGCACCTCCAGCGCCGGCGCCGGCGGAAGAGCCACCGCTACTGAGACCGGAAGCCCATCCTGAAGCAGATGAGCCGGTAGACGAAGCTGGGCCGGAAGAAGCACCTTGGAAGGCGCCACGGAACGAGTTGGCCGAGTTATGGGCGGCGTTGGCCGCCGACTGGGCAGCGCCTCTCCATAGGTGAGAGGCGAGTTTGGCGGCTGAGGACACAGGCATAGCAATCGCTACCGTGACTTCAAGCCTTGCCTATGACAGTGGATTGTCAAGAGGCGGGAAGAGGTCGTGGCACGAGGGCCGATAGGAAAGGTTGGACGGTCGTCCAGCCTCACAGTCAAGTGAGCAGTATCCAGGCGAAGAGGACACGTCTTGACGGTACAAGTGCGACTGTCCAAGGCGTCGACTGCTATGGTATGTGACGGTTGTCGCCGGGCTTCCTCGATGGCAAGCAACGTCGTATGTGGTGCGGGAGAATGCAAAGGCTGAGGTGACAAAGATGGGTCCAGCCCCGCAGCGATCGGTGGTGAGGTGGTCGAGTGTTGTGGAGAAGGGACCGTGGTAGCAGTTTGCACCGATTGCCGTCAGATGTGTTCTAGGGAAAAGTGTTGAGAGTAGGGCAGCGGGATGCCCTGATCGAGTGGATGTCAATTGTTGATGAGGAGGAGGAGACAAGGTTGAGTCGAGCTGTCAGAACAAGATCTTTGCAAAAAGTGGAGTGAAAAAGAGGGCTGAGTCAATCACTGACGCTGTGCTGCTTGTGCCTGCTGCAGCTGCTTCCTTGATTCTCCGCTCTCTCTTTCTCACTCAGGGTCCTGCTTGCTTGCTTCCTCGCCTCGCTCAAATCTGGCTTCTTCGCGCTTCCGCCTGGAAGAAATCGCACAAAAAGTCGGGGCGTGTCGGGCTGTGGAATACGCCGATCCCCCCTCTTGGACCTCTGCTCCGCGGTCATCCTCTGCTCATGCGTGCAACCTGTGACAGCCGAACATGGATGATTGTGATGGCCATCGTGACTGCCTGATTTCTCCCATCCCGCCTCAGTGTCACTCCCTCGCAGACTTCGTGTTGGACAGAGCAGCTCCTTCGTAGAAAGCTGGTGCGAGTCAGCCGGAGCTCCTCTGAATGAATGGTCATACCACCAAACTTCATCAGCCTTGCTAGCATGCTCGTCATCCAGGGACACGTATAGCAACAGGGTCTTGACAGAAGCGCACGCCAGACTTCTGGCGAGCGCAAGTCGCCGTGATTCGGGTTGGCTGCCGAGATGAGCCATGTGACACCACGCTTACTCGTGGAAGCTTTCGGGTCGCAGAAGCGCCCGGCAGCTCCCGTCCAAGAAATTTGAAATTGTGTATACATATAGTCTAACACTTCCAGCACGGCCCAAAAATGCCCCTCGCCACCAACAGATTCATCATAGCACCACGCGCCTGACAGCGACGCAGTCTCTCAACCAGCTTTCAGCACAACGGGCCAACATCGGGTGCCACTCCTTGTCCTCATTGCATCAAGCATACGAGTTGAAACTCTAGTCGATAAGCATCACCCCATCCAGGCACGACGCCAATGTGTTGACGCTCGCCACCGGCCACGGCTGGGCGTTGTATGGCCATGGCAAGTGGTGTCGCTCCTCGCTGATCAGTCGCAGCCGATGCAAGCTGCGCAGTATCGAGTCCATATCCTCCACTTCCTTCCTAGATTGCTCTCTGGTCGCCGCTTCCTCGCTGAGCGGCCGAGTCTGTTGCGATGGCGACAAATTCCAGCTTTGGAGCATGTCGATGGCGAGCACGTGGCTGGCACCGAGGCGTCCGTCGAGACCGACGTTGTTCCCGCTGCTGACAAAGTCTTGACGCGGACGGTGTACGAGCATTGCAGAAGCGATGGGCATCGCCATCATATCGAGCTCAGTCCCAGCCCCCTCTTCTTCCTTGGACGAGTGCGAGCTTCCAAATGCCTCCGTCCAACCCATCGGCATAGGCTCGGCAAACTTGACCATCTGCGAAAAGTCGGCTGCGTCCAACAAGATCAGACTCGCCTTGTCGGACGCCGCTGCCGTCGTCGACGTCGCCCAGTCTTGGCTCGCCTTGATGCGCACTCCGCGCTCCGTCAGAATGGCGCCTGAGTCGTCCGGTCGCACGCTCAACAAGACAACGCTTCCCATCACCCTCTCCTGAGCCCCGCTCGCCGTGAGGTACGCATCGATCAGCCGCTGCCAAGCTCGCAGCTCGCGTCGACGCATCGAGCCTGCACTCGAGATGGCCAGTCTCCAGTTGAGACGAGCTCGGCTCGCCTCTGCTACTGCAAATCGCCAGACTCGCTCGATGCAGGCTTCGACATTGGAACTGCCTTCAGGGACAGAGAACGCATCGACGGCGCTGGATCCACCGCGTTCGTCGACAGCACTCAGCACGACAATGCTTGCGCCTGTTGTCGAGGGTGACTGTGCGGCGTCGGCCATCTTGTCCAATATAGAGAGGTTGGAGGCGTCATACAGGGTGCTGTCCTCCATGTCGCCGTCGTGAGCCTGTAGATCCTGTTCGCGTCGGCCGGCTCGGCAGATACGATAGCTGATGTGCAGCGTCACATTCTCGTCTACCGCAGCAGCTGGGTCTTGCGGCCAAGACAGCGAAAATTTCGTCTTCCCAGCGGGACCTGCTGCCGATGCTGACGACGGCTTATCAGCCGTGCTCGAAAGGCTGAAGGCAGGGAACTGCACCACCGCTGAGATCGGTCCTAGTTCGCGTCCGTGCAGCACCTTGGCGGGCTGGCGTCGCACCAGCCTTGGCAGTTGATCGTACACGGAGAAAGCCAGTCTTCTCACAGCATGCGACTGCTGATGGAAGCCCAGGCTGCCGCTTTCGGTCATCATCGACGGCGTCACAGGGCGTACCAGCAATTGCTCCGCCAGGACACCCACCTGCTCGCTTAGCATCGCTCTAAGGTCTGCCTCGAGCCGCAACAGTCCGTGGTAACCCGTTGCGCCGCACGGCGAAGAGTGGAGCGGCTGCAGAGTATACACGACGACATGCTTACCCTGCAGCAGATCGAGCTGAACGCGGCTCGAGATGGATCGCAACGTATCCAGCCACGTCTCGCCGTCCTTGTAGAGTTCGTCGAGATAGCTCGACAGAGCCAACGAGTCAGATCCGTCTGCCACAGCGAGGATCGACTGCGGACCGCCGCTGTGCGTGCCGAGACCGTGCGCCTCAAAGGCGACGCGAAGTCGCTCCAACCATGCAACGATCTCGTCGTGCCAGGCCGGAGAAGCGTCAGTCAGTAACACTTTCGCAATGACGTGCTTCTCACCGCTGACAGCCGACAGCTTCGACTTGTCCCAGAGCGTCAGCGCCGATGGTAGCGTCTCCACCACCGAGCCGTGGCAGCCGACAGCAATTCGAGTGGGATCCAGCACTTCGGCAACCTCGACACGCTCACCTGCGGTCAAAGCAGCGTCTTGACGCGGTTGAGCCAGGCTTCCGAGGGTCGGGAGGGATAGCAGGATGTCCTCGGCAGCCTGCACGGGCGCGGCGGCGGCAGGTGCGATGCTGAGGGCAGACGCCATAGCTTCGAGCACCTCGACCTTTTCGCTGATGGCAATATCTGAACATGCCCTGGTGCTGGCGTTGCCGACGCTGTACATGGATCGAAACTGTGGATTCCGGATCAGCCAGTTGGCGGTTCTGCGCAGCATCGACCGCTTCAGAGTAGGACGGATCGTCTTTGCGACTGCAGTCGTCCTCGACAGTGCCGACATACTCTGTGAGAACGAGAACGGCAGCAGAGCTGGTGGTTTTGCGATCTGACTCATCTCGCCATCTGGTTCTGGCCTGCCTCCAAGAAAGTGCGCCCTGGCAGGAGCCGTCGTGCCACTCAGGTACGAGGCAACAATGTCGCTGGTGAATGCTTTCATCGTCGCCTGCTCGTCCGGAGACAGCGTCGTTGTGGTTCCTTCCGTGTCGCTCCGCGCGTCATCGCTGTCGTCGTCGTTGCTACTAGATGTCTCGTTTTCGGAGTCACTGAGCGCTCCCGGCATCGCAAAGTCATCGCTCGACCGCGGCGTTGCTGGTGGCTCCACCATACGTGAAGAGCTGGATGGCCGTTGCAGCATGGACGATCCGGGCGAAGCCTTGCTGTGCCGATCTCGTCTTAGCTGCAGCAGCGATTGACCGCGCCGTGACAAGGCCTTCGGTGAGGGTGGCCTTATCATCGTGCGATCTGCGCTTATTCTTGCTTCGCTCGTCGGCGGCGGCTCCGTCGTCGGCGCATTCTTCGCAGTCGAGGAGGCCGGAACGGAGGTCGACATCTTGGGCCTCGAGGCGAACTTGCCGAGCAGGTCGTACTTGCGGCCGAGATTGACTCGGACACCCGCAGGAAGCCTCTGCAACGGTTTGCGTGCCTCTGGCTGTGTCAGTGGCAAAAAGGCGTTGGGCACGATAGCCGGACGTTTTCTGCTCGAGCCGTCCGCGTCCATGGCTGCATTGGCCGCAGCTGCAGCTGCCGTGCTAGCGTCAGCCAAACGAAGCTGGTCCTCATTTAGGACAGAAGCGGCCTTTTCGTCTTGGACCGAATGCCCACCGGACGCATGCGAGTCCTGCGCAGAGGCGAGGCCTCGCTCCCGATAGCTCTGAGCAGAATCACCTACGCGATGCCTGGTTTGCAAGTCAACGATAGCAGCACCATCGTGGTATTCTTCGACCGGCGAATAGGGCGTTCTTGGCGTCTTGTATTGTGGATTGCCAAAGGCGGGCGAGCTCTCGGTGAGGGAGCTTGGCGTGAATCCGGGCAAGGAGGCCGGATCGCCAAAGGGGGTGGCTCCTGCGGCATCGCGTGGTGTGAATGCGTTGAGACTTGGGTGGAAAGGCTGTGATGAGGCCGTGACCATCGTCGCGCCGTCTTGTGCGGTGCGGTGTCCCATCTGAGACCCGGGGGCTTGTGCACCTGCCATCGACGTCGCGAAAGATGTTTGAGGTGCACTCTGTGCCTGCGAAGAGTGAGAGGTGTCGATGACATCCTGAAGACCTGGGATTGCGCTGAAGAGGTCATCCAGACCGCTCTGGTCGATATCTTGCATGGTCACGTCGTCGATGATTGCAGCTGAGGACATCAGCGCATTGGGACCGTTCGTCACCGGCTGCGAGACACCCTGCTGCCCGAAGTTCAGAGCTTGCGAGGACGTCTCAGGTGGTGGATCGAGTGTCTGCTCCAAAGCACCGCCCGGGTCGAGACCGAAAGCGGACTCGTCGAAAAAGGAAAAGTCGTCTTCGGTCAGCAGACCCATGCTGCCAAAGATATCTCCTTCTCCTGCTTTGCGCTTGACTGTCATCGACTGTGCCAAGCCCGACAACGGCGTCGTCTCTGACCCCTGCTGTGGTGTCGAACCTAGAGACGGCATCTGCGCCTGTGGCTGCAGGAGAGACTGTGAAGTTGCGCCTACTTGCAGCGGAGCGGAGGAGGCAGAGCTGGTGGCGAAAAGCCAATTGGAGCCGTTTTGCTCGTTAAGGAGTTGCTTTGCCTCGCCAGTCCCGGACGCGGGCGAGCGGACCGGCGCACCTGCTCCGGCTGTAATCATTGAGGATGCAGGCCCAGTCGCCTCGCCCGACTGTGCGGGTAAGAAATGCATCCAGTTGAGATCCTGTCCAAAGGTTTCTGAGCTAGCTGCTGGTCGCCCGGACTCTGTGCCTATCCTTTCTTGTTTTGGCAACGAACCGCTTGATAGAGGCGGACCGACAGCAATTGGCGGATGCGAAGAGGGACCCGATTCGGGTGCTGTCATAGCAAAGTCGAAATCAGGTAAAACAACGCTGGCGGGTGTGATGTCCGGGCGTGTCGAGGGCAGACGGTCGGCGCGACGACGAGCGAGAGAAGCGTCGTCTGTCTCGCCGGGTGTGTAAGGGGGCGGTTGCGGTACAGATGTGGACTCGTTGGCATCATTGAGCACCTTGAGCGTGAAAGCTGCGAGCTCCTTGAGCGGTGTCATGGGTTGGCTCTGTATTGTGTCAAGATCCGAGTTGATGCTGTTTGCCGATGCGAGCGCGCGCGGCATCGCCAATGATGGACCTGGGAGGACGAGACACCAAGCGACTGGCCACAGGAATTGGCGCGAGTTTGACCGCAATCGAGGCTGCCCATGCGCTGCATCTGCATCCGAACGGGTCTGAGTGTCGACCTGGGCTTCGCTGTGGGGGAACATGCCGGATAGCACATCTTGTGACTGCTTGAGATCTTGCGATGGTGATTGGGTGGTCGAGTGTTCCTGAGGCAGGGCACAGACAGCAAGCCCGGATGCAAGGAGCGCATCGTCATCTGAGCCCGCGTTGGGAGCCGCCGTATGGAGCTTTGCGAACATGGTCCGTAGCTCGGAAAGGTGATCATGCGCGAACGTGCTAGATGGGACTGTACCTAGGAGTTCCACTCGAAGACCCAGTGGAGCAATGAGCATACTTGGGCGCTGCGGAGACGATGGCAGCAAGGATGCAATCTTGGCATGATGAATGCTGGCCAAAGGAAGGGCAGCAATGCGGCGGGATGTCGCACGAACCAGGAGCGAGGATTCAGTGAGTGAGACGTCCAGCTGCGTCACGAGACTTGCGGCTTCGTTGGCGCTGGCGAAGGGTGTCTTCTTGTGTCCAGTGCCATCATACCCTGTTGCGTCTGAGCCGGGACGGGAAATGGGCAAGAAGACGACACTCTCTCCAAGTCGCAGACGACCGCGATCACATACTTCACTTCCGTGAGGCTGCTGGAAGGACGACGATCTTGTCGTAGTCATCAGATGAATGGCTCTGGCCTTGATCGCTGCCAGGAAGCATCTATGGGCCTGTCGCTGTTCCGAGGTGAGCGAGGATTGCTTCCCCTTGACATCTTCTGGGTCCAAGGCCGCAGCTGCCAGGCGATAGGAGCCAGAACGGACGTTGGCAACCGCAGATAAGCGTGCAAGCGCTTTGGCGAGATCGGCCGGAAGGTGGTGGGCTAGGATTGCATCCAGTGAGGCTGTGCTTGCGTTGAGTGTGTCCTGCTGCGTGTTGCCTCCGACAGGGATCTCGCTTTGCTTCGCGTCGGCGCTGTTCTTCTTTGCGGCATCGAGCATGGTCACGTCTTCGGTGGCAGGAGCAGATGGCTTGGTTGTCGAGCTCTCGTGGTCGGCTACGACGACAAAGATCCACAGGTCGGCGGACACACTGCTGGGATTGCTTGGCCCAGGCTCATGCTGCGATGGAAGCGTCGAGCCCATGTGCATCAGTGGACCTGCGAACAGAGGCTTCAGCTCGTTCTTGCTCCCCGCCTGGGACTGGAGACATGACTTGTTCGCAAAAGCAATGACGTGTTGGACACCGCTGCGCCACTTGTGGAGGTCGTCGATATGAGTGGTCGAAGGGCCAGCGTCGAGAGAAGAGGCCTCTCGAACTTGACCATCGCGATCCTTCTGCGTGCGCGTCTCGCTGTGCCGCTGCTGCAGGCGATGCCAATGGACCGTGGCCAGAGACGGGAAGGCAAGTTTTGCGATGGAAGCCGGCGTGCTGGCAGTGAGCAGGGAGAGATGCTGTATTGATCTGGGTGTTGTTGAAGACGCGGCGTTGGGTGCAGCAGACGAGCGCGGCGTGGATACTGTTCCGGGGAAAGCGATGTTGGGACGAGGGAAAGCAGCGTTGCTAGATGAGGGGCCATGCTGAGCTTGGACCATGCCGCCGGCTCTCCGCTGTGTCGACGAAATGTTGGACATGCTGATGGGGCGGTTTTGCGACGCGGCGCTGCTTCCAGCGCCAGCGGCGGCGGGAGCGTGACCATGATTCCACATTGCGACAGCGGATATAAAGGTTGACCTAGTCAGCCCAGTGCAGGGAGTGCGAATGCTGGCGTCGTCGCCATCGAGATCGTTCCAAAGAGGGGGTTGCTATCCGCTGAGGCTCGTTGCTGTGATCCTTTTCCGATGCCGTGGAGGGTTTAAGAGCGTCGCGAGACTCCACGATGGGAGAATGCAGTGGTGGCTGAGTCGGATCAGCTGTGACTGGATGCTGTCGGCGTCTTTTAGTTGTACTTCGTTGAAATGCGGGGGGTCCGGTGTGAGCTGGTTGGACCACGGGCCTACAAAAGGAGGGTCCAGCTTTCTTTGGCGTGTCACATCGGCTTGGATCGCTTGCATCTACCCGATTCCCACTGGTTAAGTTGGCAAGCCACGTGTGATTTCTCGACCCGCTTTTTGAAGACTCTTTTTGGACAAACGGTATTTTTTCGAGTCTCAAATATCCCCCCGTTCAAAGAAACGAGACACCGCAAGCACCTTTGCAGACCTCGCATCACTTCAAGCCTCTGGCCCTGGCTCTGCTTAACGAGAACAATCATGGCAGCCCATGGTACCGGGACAAGATCGAAGGCTTGATACAGAAGTCAATGCGATGTACATATTGGATCGGGGAATGCCTTTGTCAGAGACCCGATGGAGACGATGAGGCAGGCGCATGGACGCTGATGGCCGGTCGACTCGGTCGCGTCGAATATCCGCCTTGAATTTGCACTCACTGCTGTTTGGCGGGCAATCGAGTGATTGCAATCTGCTCTGCCGTGCGGAGTGGTACATGTCCGAGACGTGCCGATTCCGAACGGGATTGCCTCTCTCCGCTCGACGATGGCCGACACATGCCGTGCAGGACAGGCCTGCGCCGAAGCAACCGAATCCCACACGGAAGTCGGCAGCCGAAGCCACTACGATGTAAGCAGATGAACTAAAGGACGCCTTCCCTGACTGTCCGATGTAAGTCCACCACCTCGTTGCCGTCCAACGCAAGAGCAGGGGCCAATCCGATGCAAAAGCTGTTCGCGCTGCGCTGCAGAAAGAAAAGATGAAACGCGTGCCAGCTAAGCACCCAACTTGCCGAGATGGTTGACAGGCAGCGAGATCAGCAAGACGCGTGCGGCTGCAGAGGCTGGCGAGCAATTCTGGCGCTCATCTCTTTCCCTTGCCCCTTTCAAGCGGGACCTCCTGCTTGGCAGCATGGCGTAGCATCACAGCGTCGCGACCCTTGAGACGGTCGCAATGGCCGCTCACGCCGAAATGCATCGTTGTCAGAGAACTTTGCACCAAATTACGCTCAAGGTGACGACGTCACAGCCAACAGGATCATGTCGATCAAGATCGTCTCGCCGACAGCCGACTGCCAAGGTTGGCGTCAATTCGACCTTGACATTCGGCAGCACGAAGCGATGCTCGCCAAGCCATGGGCAAAAGGGGTTGAGCACAGAGCCAAGCCTGGATGCCAAGTCGAGCACAGCACATAGCCAAGATCCGCGTTTCCGAGGGAGAAGGCGGCCTGTGCCACTACAGAAGCGAGCCCATTGTCTCCTTCTTGAACTCGCGATGCTTGGCGAGCGTGTGATGCATCACATTGTATTGCGCCAAGGGCAACGAACCGAGCACCCATACGGCTGCCAAGAATGGGACCGTAATGGCTGTCCTGTCATGTCATGGTTATGAGGGTTAGAGTTACGCTACATCGCCAAGCTCAGTCTTTGTCTTTGCAGCACGATTGTTTCCTTTCCTGCAACAATCACAATAAGGCAGACAAGGTGAGAAGCAACGTGCGTCCTCGAGCATGCGTGGCTGCTCACAGAACATGGAAGGTGCGGCCGCTCCGATGTTCTTCGGAACAAGCGTCCTCGACGGGATCCATCAACACCCGCTGACAAACCAATGACGAGCCATCGGCTCTCGCACCGCTCAACTCGTGTGAGGGTCTTGTTGACAAAGATACCGTCGGCACAGGCACGAGTAGCAGCATCTATCGTTTGGCGGAGCATGGAACGGTCAATGCAGTTGCTGCCGTGTAGATGGTGACGGAGAATGAAATCCAAACAGTGCTATACTGTAAGCGTTGAGGAAGCGCAAAACAAGATTGCATACAGTCGAGCCTTCTAGTCGATACGCCCTCCACCAAACAAGGCGAGCAGACAAGGTATGAGGGGCAGGATGCGCAATCGACGACATGCATGAGATGAGTCGCATTGGAAGGGGCGACGCCATCTCCAACTCTCTTTTTGACTATTGACGACGAGCAAACATGAAGCGAAATGTCTCAGTGTCAATCGATGTCGATCAAGGAATGAAGGAGCGGCGCGGCGCGTCTGTCTGAAAAGACAGCCAAAGTGCCTGATATGCAATCGAAGCTTTGCAGTTTTCCTTTTTCGCTGCTCTGATGCAAGTTGGAGATGAATCGTTTCACCTCCGACACTGTGCTTTGTCGGTTGCAAAATGGCCATCCTGACCGAGGCGTGTTGGTCTTTTCTGGTCGAAATGAAAATAGCTACACTGCGCTAGTGCCTGCATTTCTGGCAAGGCATGCGCCTCGGCTGTGATGTTGTGATCCGCTTCGGCAAACGTGCCGTCGATCATCCTTGAAAAGTGACACTCAGCTCGTCGATCCCTCCGAGTGACTGCTCTTGTGCCTTTGCCTCGCCACTCGATGCGCAGTCTCCGAGAGATGTTCTCTGACAGTTTGCGCGTTTGCGCGTGCGATGTGTGTGTGTGTTGTTCTCTCGCTGCGCTGCTGCGCTGTCGACTGTTTGGCATTGCAACCAGCTTCCGCCCCCTTTGTCGCTCCCACTGACCGAGCTCGCCGTGCTCGTCACCTTCTGCGCTGCGCTCCTCATTCTGGGCATCGCATGGCTTGCTTGCTTGATGGATGGATGGCAGCAGCGCACGAGAGAGTCTGGCCTCGCTCCACCGTTTCTGCGCCGCCGTACATTGATTGACTTTTGCGCTTCCTGCCTCGAGGCCCCTTTAACTGCCTGCTTGTGGCTTTGTCGAAGCCTTGTGTCCCCTTACTCATCCCCCTTGCCCCTTTCTTCGACACCATCCAGTCCTCTCTCCTCTCCTCATCATCACCTTCACCTTTCTCTCCTCTCTCCACCACTCCACCGCGCCCTCCCCCCTCGATCGTGGCTTTGATAGTTCACGACGATTCACGACTCTTCGGCTTCTCTTCCACCCACCACCCACCACCCACCAGCCAACGACAACAGCGCTCTTTCGACTCCAACAGCTACCACAGCATTCGACTATCTCCTACAACAACTTTGTCCGCCCTGACTCGTCAGCATACATTTCGATCTCGCGGCCTATCTCATCTCCCACCTTTTCATCTTCGTCATCATCGTAGCCAGTTCGCCCGTGATCTGCATTCCCTCCCTCATCATCACCAACACATACATACACTGCAATCATGCGATTCTCACTACAGCTCTTGGTGGTCGCCTTTGCTGCCCTCCTCTGCGCCGTCTCGCCCACAGATGCCAAGCTTAGACGTGGTCTCGCTTGGGGTGTCAACGACAACTACGGCCCAAAACTCGCAAAGGGCTTGATCAGCTGGTATTGGCACTGGCAGGATGGTCCCAACCCCAAGTTCAACGGCAAGCTCCAGTGGGTCCCTTGCTTCTGGGGTCCCAAGTACCAATCGCAATGGGAACAGCGCAAGCGCGAGATGAAGGGCAACCTTCCCCAATACATCCTCGGCGTCAACGAGCCTGAGATCCCCGGCCAGGCCAACCTGAGCCCCAAGCAGGCCGCCAAGCTTCACATGAGGGAGCTCGAGCCTTACGCCCGCAAGGGTGTCAAGATCAGCTCGCCCCAGATGGTCTACAAGACCGAGTGGCTCCAGCAGTTCATGAAGGAGTGCAACAAGCTCGGCTGCACCGTCGACTTTATCGCCATCCACTGGTACGGCACCACCAAGGACATGGCCAAGCTCAAGAGGTGGGTCAAGACCATCCACAAGACGTTCAACAAGCCCATCTGGATCACCGAGTACGGCGTCACCGCCGCTTCGGGCCCCAACATGAACGCCATCAAGAGGTTCCACATGGACGCTACCGCCTGGTTGACCAAGGTGAGCTACGTCAAGCGTGCCGCTTGGCTTGGCTGCTTTGTGGTCAACAACCCTCCCGATTCGTACGCCAACAACAAGAACGCCTTCTACAACGACAACGGCTCGCTGCGTGACATTGCCCACTGGTACATGTACTCGTCGAAGCCTGTCAAGCGCTCTGCTCACTCGAACCGCGCCCTCCCCTCGTCGCACGTCGCCCGCCGCGGTCTGACGCACAAGGATGAGGATGGAAACGACATCGTCGACGACGATGATGACTCGGAGCCTCCTGAGCACATCATCGAGTGCGACGAGTACTGCCAAGCGCGCGACAAGGCCATCGCCGACTTCGAGGCCAAGAACGGTCCCATCAGCGAAGAAGATGACTTGGACGACGACAACGACGACGATGACAACTAGGCGTACCGCTTTGCTCGGTCATCCTCCCAAAAGCCCCACCTCACAGCGAAAGCAATGTCATGGGTCATACATGGTCGTTCGTCGAATCCCCTTCCAACCGTCATCTTCTTCTCTTGATCTCCATTCTCGTCCTATTTTGCCTGCATTGCATTCCCACGCAACTGTATGCATGCCTCGTAGTGGTGCTGGCACCTCTTCCTTGGCGCGCAGAGTCCTCTTCCTTCCCGCCCAACCACCATCCTGAACCGGCTTCCTTTCGTGTCTCCCTTTCAACTTTCTCTTTCTGTTTTCCCTTCGCTTCGTTTCACCCTTCTTCTTCTTCTCCAACTTCACTTAGCCTAGCCGCCTTCGTGTGTCGCTGCTACCCTTCTTCTTTGTTACTTTCCACTTCACTCTACCTAATCTGCTGTAAAGAGGCGCGTTGACGATCGCCGGTCCGGTCGTTCCTCGCACTTCATGCCCTTTCTCGAAGGGGAATGGTGCTGAAGAAAGCCGGCTTTTCTTCGCATTGCTCGAAGCCCACACGTTTTGTACCATACTCGTATACCTTTCCTGAAAGAAAGCAGATGTTTGTTTGTTCACTATATCGTCTTCGTGCTTGATCGTGGTTGTGAACGGTCGTCGTCCCTTGAGTAAGCTGGCATTCTTCTCGTCTCATTATGTCCCTTCTCGCTTGATCTCGCTTGAATGACAGCCCATTGGATAGAGGTGGCGAGCCATGACCATGGCTCTGGCCAGCGACCAGACTCACCACTCGTTCACATCCGCACCCGTCACTTTCAGGTCTCCATGCTGGATGCCTCTGTTCGTGATGCTGGGGACAGGTGATGTTGAGACATGATCGTGTCGATGCTGCAACTCTGCTCGGTTCTCTCGACATTTGCTCTGAGCATCGCGTGCAACCCACCACAGGTATGGAGTGAGTCGAACCGGGCTCTCCGATGGTGCTTCGTGAGAATGTGGGAATGGCCGCCGCCGTGTTGACATGTCCAGCAAGCTCAATCGACGGAAGCGGTCTCGAGTGAGAGTTTGCTTCTATTTTGGTCCCACTTTTTGGCCTTCCAGCCAGCGGAGAGTAAGCAAGCCAGATCCTCACCACAGCCAGCCGCAATGCCCGATCTGCAAATCTGCCCACCTGTATCTTGCTTGCGCTTCCTACTCGATGCTTTGATCAGCATACTGAGCTATCCGAACAAGCAGCATGCCACCTCCATCGACAGCTTGGCTTGTGTTGTGAAGAGTTGCCTTTGGAGTGCGGGAATCCCGCGCGAGGCCAAAAAGAACAGCCTCTTGAGAGCTTCGGCCAAATCGGAAACACGCCGTCCGTCATCTTGCGTTCAAGGGTACATCTCGGCGTAATTCTTCAGGCGAAGCAGCTCTCGCTCAGTCAAGCACAAGCCACACACCTCACTCACGCTTACTCTCTCTCGCTCGGCTTGACCTTTGCGCTCGTCCATCCATCACAGCAGCAACGGTGACGGTGTCCGACGTCCTCTATCCTCACCAATCACACTTGGGGGACCTTGCTGGCTTCCCGATCAGCGTCTGACTGCGTGCTCAACATCTGAAGGACCAGTTGACATCGAGAAGCCTTTGCATGCTTCGGTCGAGCTGCGGACGGATCGTCTCTCACCACACCCCGCTCAAGACCTCGACGAGCGCCAACAGAGCATTCGAGGCACAATCTCAGCTCTCCGACGCACCATCTGCACATCTTCATCGCTTTCTCCCGGTCTTGACGCTCTGTCTAATCGTAAATTGGACTTCATTCCGGACCTGCCGCTCAGCTTCCCCACGGATAGCACATCGAGCTTCCGACGACCTCCAGTCCGATCACAACATCATCGGCGAGCATCCGAGATCAGCCTCAAGTCCATAACCTTGCATCGGTTTCACTTCCGAAGTGGGATCACACCGCCGTCACAATGCCATCGGCGGATCCGAACATAGCCTTGCCAGGCGGTGGACCTGCATCACTCATCATCCTTCAAACACACCCGCCGCTTCCTGCCTTCAGCATCCCTCATCGTGTGCCTGATCCGTCAACCGACATCTCCTCCTTCAAGCTCTCGATCCTTCGCATCCTCACCGGCCAGACCAATGCACAGTCATCCACAAAACCGCTCACCTTCTCCGAGGAAGTCAAGGAAAAGGCCATCAACGGCTGGAAGATGCAGATGCTCACCCTCGAACTTCGCCAGAGGGACGATCTCGATGCTGAAGAGGAAGAAGAGGATGCAACCGACTCGACCGAGATGCGCGGCTTTGAGCTGCAAGACCATCACGAGTGCAGCCTCATCGAAGAAGGCGATATGATTGTCGTGCGTCTCAAGCCAAATCATACACTGGAGGAGCTCGAGCTGCCAAAGCTGGGATCAAATCATCGCTATTCCGCACCCACCGGATCGCTCACTCGGGCTGGAACACTCTCAGAGCCACCACCCTACTCGATAATCCAGCCATCGGAGCCGTCGAGCTTCTCCTCTTCGGTTGGCGCACAGCCAAATGCCAACTACCACCAGCATCGATTCCAGGACTATCGCTCCGCTTTCCGCGTCGTCACGGCAGCCAACGTTGGATCCGGTCGCATACGTCGAAGCACACCGACCAACACGGCTGGTGCTGGCCCAACAAGCCTCGGAAACGGTCTCAATTTGCTGCAGACGTCGGGCAAGGGCAGCGGAAACAAGGGCAAGCGTCGCACCTCATCCTCTGCTGTTCCCAAGACCAGCGCCAGTCCCAAGCTCGGCTCGTCTGCAGTGTTGCCAGACGCTGCTCCAGCGACCACTTCTACCATCACCACGGCCTCGTCCACCTCGGCAAATCCCAGCACCGTGGCCATCCCTGCCTCCACCATAGATCAGCAGCACGTCGCCTCACCGCCTACATCGCCTCTGCTCGACTCTGGGGCTGCTACACCTCTGTCGAACACGCGCAAGACCAGCTCGTCCATCGTCACGCTTCAAGCGGCTCAGCGGTCCACAGCACCAGCAACCTCCTCTCCCAATCCAAGCCAGCTCGCGCCCATGCCCGCAACGGCCCTCGTCATCGGACCCGGTGTTCAGGGCCAAGTGGGTCGCAACCCGGCTAGCGTCAGTGCGCCCATCGGTTCCTATGGAGGAGCCGAGGTGAACGAGTATGGTAATGCGAAAGGGCTGGCCAACTTCACCTCCGCTTCTGGATCCGAGATCAAAACCAAGCCTCGTCGCAAGTCATCTCGGCAGAACAGCCAGGAGGGTTCCAGCACCGCCGACGACACTCCGCGACGCAAGCCGTCCAACCCTTCAGCGGCAGCGGCGGATGCAGCGGAACGGCGTGCTGCCTTGGCTCGTCGAGAGTCGGCGGAGGCCACACCGAAACGACCCGTTCGAGATCGACAGGCATCGTCCAGCAGTCGGATCAACAAGGCGGATCTGCCCACGCCACCTGTCTTGCCGCCCATACAGAACCTCGCACCGTTCCCCGAGTCGCCGTCTGCACCAATAGCCAGGAAGGAACGGGAGCTGCCGCCCATGCCGACGGACGAGCCGGACACCAGCACGCCGAATTTAGCCGTCAGCACGCCGACCGAAAGCAAGCCACCGAGGCTGTCGTTCCTGCGCAAGTTCAGTTCAGCGAGTCGCACCGACAGCACACCGGATTCACCGGCGAAGGAGCGAGAGAGCATCTGGGCTCCCGGTCTCGGCTTGAGTCGAAGCTACACGACCAGCACTCCGCCAAAGACCCCCGCGCAGGAGGTCGAGCCCCCCATCAAGCCCGTCCAAGACGGAGACGTGTCGCACAGCAGCACCCTCAGCCGCGCAGAGCGGCGGTATCAGGAGGTGCAAAAGGCGCTCGCGGTGGAGAGGGAGAGACAGGCAGAGGCGGATAAGGCGCGGCTGGAGGAGATCCGAGAGAGAAGAGAGAGAAAGGACAAGGAGAGGGAGAAGAGGGAGAGCGAGGCCAAGAAGAGGGTCGAGGAGCAGAAGTGGGAGATGTGGGAGGAGGTGAGGAGGCGACAGAAGGGCGAGACGGGGGTGGTGCCGGCGCGGATCGAGAGGTTGTACAGCGGTGCGACGGATGAGGGCCAGGCTAGGCCTTCTGCGCACGCGGAGGCGATCGAGGATCGCACCGCACCGGCACCTGCGGCTGGAAACGGCGACAGTGTGGGACCGCGCATCGAGCTGGGTCTGGAACGCATTACTCGCCTACTCACCCGTCTCAATTCGCCCCAAACCCGTTTCCCCGTGATTCACGTCGCAGGCACCAACGGCAAAGGCAGCACCATCGCCTACCTCGACTCGCTCCTCCGGAACGCACTCGACATCCGCACGGGTACGTTTGTCAGCCCACACCTCGTCGAGCGGCGCGACTGCTGCAAGGTGGATGGTGCGGTGATTGCCAAGGATGTATGGCGGCAGGCGCAGTCGGACGTGCTGTTCGCGGATCAGGGATTGGACATTGCGCCGACGGCGAGCGACGATGGGCAACCGTTGAAGTGTAGTCCGTTCGAACTGCTTACTGCACAGACGTTCCAGGCGTTCTCGCTCCTGCCCGAGGGGCAAAGGCCGGGGATCCTGCTCATCGAGGTCGGACTTGGAGGGAGACTGGATGCGACCAATGTGTTTGATAACACGCAGGTGCTAGCTAGCATCGTGTGCCCTATCGATCGGGACCACGAGGCGTTCCTGGGGAGCAAGCTCGAGGGCATCGCCCGCGAGAAGGCTGGGATTGTCAAGCAAGACGGTCTTTGCATCATCGCAGATCAACGACTGGACGACACATCCGCCGTGGACCAGCTCGCTCTCGGTCCGTTGGACAACGAAGCCCGGTCCATGGGTGCCCGGGCAGCAGGGATCTTGGATTCGATCCGCAACGTTTGCATGACCCGCAACGCGCGGCTGGTCAAGACGTGCATACCGTGGAAGCTGCTCGACCTCCCCCCGACGAGGTCCGACAAATGGGGTAGCTCCGTTGATTTCACGCCGAGGTTGGGACCGACGCTGTTCCTGTCCACTTCCGGGCTCAATCCGCCTTCGACGTTCGTAGCGCACCCGCACGACCCGGTGCTGTTCAGTGTGCCAGTGAGCGTCGAGCGCACGCGAGCGAATCTGACCGGTGTATGCATGGCCGTTCAGACGCTCTCCTCTATCGCGCGGGACGAAGTTCCCCAGGATCGATGGGAGGAGCTGCGAACGCGAATCATGTGGGGTCTACGGGATGATGCAGAGGCGAATCTGCGGGTGCGTGAGTCGATCGGTGCGACCCACTGGCCCGGTCGCTGTTCGTGGCACACCATCGATGGGATGGACGTCCTAGTGGATGGAGCGCATAATGGGGCCAGTGCCAAAGCCCTCCGCGAGTACGTGGATAGCTGTCTGGCCGCCCGAGCGGTCAGCCAGCTCGTGGGAAGTGGAGAGAAAGGAAAGAGCAAGGGTAGGATGCAAACCCAATGGCAGGTGATCTACATCTTTGCCTTCTCCGAGGGTAAGGATTACGAATCCATGGTCCGAGCGTTGTTGGAGAACCCGAGTCACCTGGTGGAGCGCCAGAATGTGGCGCTGACCACGTTTTCTCCACCGGAAGGCATGCCTTGGGTCCGAAGCGTCGAGCTGACAGATGGACTGCGGACGTTGAAGGGCGTGGCGAACACGGTGGACGTGGGGGAGATGAGGACGTTCGAGCGAGTGGAGGGCGCACTGGAGTGGGCGAAAGGAGGACAGGGACTGGTGGTTGTAGCGGGGAGCTTGTATTTGGTCGCGGACGTGTATCGTGGCTTGGTGGCGAGAGGGTTGTGGTCGGCCTAGATGGTGCTGACGTCAATGAAGGTTATGAACAGTAGACAGGTGTGGGCCTTTGTGGGTGAGAGATGAAGTGAGCTGCCACTCACCGGGTAGCTTGGGGTGCCCTGCCGATTCTGAAGCGACGGCAGCTCAACCGTAACGCCTTCTGCAACCAAATTATGAAGCTGAGATCAAGAGCCCACTCAACGGTGTTTGCCGAGCCCACAACGGATTGGATCGGGACAGGGGAGCCCACAACGGATTGGATCGAGACAGCCGAGCCCACAAACGATTGTATTGCGTTGCCTGAGCCCACAATGGATTGTCTGGAGTCACAAGACAGCGTCAGGCTGTTGTCTAGGTTGGACCGGTCATAAGGTGGGCCACTTCATGTCGTGCTGTGCGAGATCATCTCAGGTTGTTGCTTGGCTGGACGGGGAAGTGATAGGGCTCTGGTTTGCGAGAGACTTCTGTACGAACGTCCATCCGTCTTTCCCACTCCAGTCATTGTCTTGAGACCGACCCTCACGCTCATTGTTCTGTCTGACGACCATCATACCGCTCACTTCTCAGTTGAAGATCATCACACGCTCGAGCAGCGACGCTTGCTGACATTGACAGCATGATCATCCTTCGTGCCCTCCTCGTCCTCGTTCCAATCCTCCTCTCTCTTCGGTGCGAGGCAGCCATCGTCAAGCGCGATGAGCACGCTCTTGTCATCCCTCTCGCCTACGATCCCACATCCCGACTCATGACTGCCACCATCAGCATCGGCAACCCTTCCTCCGATTACAACCTCATCGTCGACACCGGTTCGCCCTTTCTCAACATCCAGTCCTCCTCGTTCCACACCACCTCGTCCACCATCGACCCGCACGATGCAGGTCAACCCGACATGTCCGGTGCCAGCGGCTACTTCACTACCGACCCCAACGCCGGCGATGGGGGTGGGCAGAAACCTCAGATGCACTTTGTCACGGATAGCGCGTATCTCGTTGAGAACGGCCGAGCGGGCGGCGGGGCAAAGGGTGGGAATGTCACGGTGGGGCTGAGTCACATTGACGGATTGAAGCTGGGCGGGATTCTGGGGTTGAGTCCGCCATTTAGCAAGTTGGTGGCTCCGAACCAGCCAGGTGGGGGGAATGATGGGACCAAGGGAAAGAAGAAGCGCGACTCCCCTGCTTTAAACGGGGGAGGGGGAGGGGTGCCAAGCTTAGACGTCTCCTTCCTCCACACCTACCTATCGGACTCCAACAGAAAGACGATCTGCGCAGGACACTTCTACCTCGCACTGAACGCCAATCCTCCCAGTGGGAACCTTGTCTTTCCGCTCACCGGCAATTCTCTGCCCACCGACATCGAGGGGTACGATTTCCCGAACAAGATCACGATCGATCCTTCGTCCGGATCCACCTTCCCGCACAAGCCGTACTGGGGCATTGCCCACCGTCCCGACCTGCGATTTGCTCTCGATGGGAAAGTGCTCGAGAACGTGCGTGTCGATGCGATGCTGCTGGACAGTGGGACGAGTGGCATTGTTGGACCTCCTTCGGAGGTCGCCAAGATCTTTACAGCGACAGGTGCGAGGGTGACGACCGTCGCGCCTCCCAAGGGTTCCACGGCGATGCTCGGCAAAGCGGCCTGCTCGTCGGGTCTGCAGATGGCGTTCGACATCGGCGGGAAGCGAGCAGCGTTCGAGACGGTGAGGCAGCCCGTGCAGGGAGACAGTGGGACGCGCGAGGCTGGACACATTGACTTTCCATCCAACGGCGACTACGGTCAAACCTGGGCGCCCTGGAGGAGCTACGACGGCGCCTACGGTCCCATGTGGGCTCCGTGGAAGAGTTACGTCGACGAGGGCGTTCGCGCCTACGCACACGGCATGGGCGGCTTCTTCGACGCCTGGCGTGGCTTGATCGGTCTGCGCAAGAGACACCTCCGTCGACGCATGCAGGTCGGAACAGAGCTCGTGGGCCAAGATATGGGTGACCAGTGCGAGGTCTCCCTCGTCGGCAGTGCTCAGGTCGAGAAGATGTTTCCGGGTAACGGGCCCGATTTCAAAGTGTGGATCGTAGGCGTCGAGTTTTTCCAGAGGAACTTGGTGTATCATAACGTGGACACGGCTCAGACGGTCATTGTGCCGAAGAAGGAGGGGCAGTGATGGGTTGGTGTTCGTAGCTGGTTTCGGGTACGTTCACTGTCTTTGCTCGTGCGATCCTCTCGTTTGGTTCGTTTACGTGTCTTTCCTCATACGATACACTCCCTCTCTTCACTGTTTCGCGAATGTCATCACAATCGTTTTAAACGCTCCTCGTCTGTGCGTCGGGACGACAACACTGGCATTGCTTTGTAATATGTTAGAAAGGCTATCTAGGTTTGTCGTTCACGACATCTTGGCAACACATCGAATGCACTCGCCCTGCTTCATGTACTCAAAGCCCTTGTTGATGTTGTCGAGGTCGGTGGTGTGGGTGATGTAATCGTCGACCTTGAAGGTGCCGTTCATGTACCTCTCGACGATGCCTGGCAGTTCGGACCTGCCCTTGACGCCACCGAATGCAGAGCCCTGCCACTTGCGACCGGTGACGAGCTGGAAGGGACGCGTAGCGATCTCTTGGCCTGCAGCAGCGACACCGATGATGGTGCTGATACCCCAGCCCTTGTGGCAGGCCTCGAGGGCGCTGCGCATGACCTTGACATTGCCCGTGCAGTCGAAAGTGTAGTCGAGTCCGCCGTCGGTGATCTCGACGAGGTGGGAGACGATGTCCTTGTCGCCGAGCTTGGTGGGGTTGATGAACTCGGTGGCACCAAACTTCTTGGCCCAGGACTCCTTGCCGTCGTTGGTGTCGATGGCGATGATGCGACCTGCGCCTGCGTCGACGGCACCGGTGAGGACAGCAAGACCGACGCAGCCAATACCGAAGACGGCGACGGTCGAGCCCTTCTCGACATTTGCGGTATGCGTCGCTGCACCCCAGCCGGTGGTAACACCGCATCCCAGCAAGCAGGTCTTGTCACGAGGCGCCTTGGGGTCGATGGCAACCAGCGAGTACTGGGAGACCACGGTGTATTGGGAGAAGGTGGAGCAGCCCATGAAGTGGTTGAGCTCCTGGCCTTTGCAGCTGAAGCGCTTGGTCTTGTCGGGCATCACACCCTGACCCTGAGTAGCACGGACAGCCTGGCAGAGGTTGGTCTTGCCTGATTTGCAGAATTTGCACTCGCGGCACTCGGCGGTGTAGAGGAGGATCACCGAGTCGCCCTCCTTAACATGGTCGACACCTTCACCGACCGACTCGACGATACCGGCACCTTCGTGTCCGAGAATGGCAGGGAAGGCACCCTCGGGGTCTGATCCAGAAAGGGTGTAGGCATCCGTGTGGCAGAGACCGGTGTGGGTGATCTGGACGCGGACTTCGCCAGCACGGGGAGCTTGCACTTCGATCTCCTCGATGGACATGGGCTTGCCAGCTTCCCAGGCAACGGCAGCCTTGCACTTGATGGTTTCGCCTTTTGTCATTGTGGAGTTGCGATGGGGGTTGGGAATCGTGTCTGTTGTTTGAGGTGGTGGTGGGAGGAGAAGCTTCGGATCGACTGGAGCAAACCTTCTGAATGTGGTCTGAGCGGGAGGATGTCGTGTGTTGGCCTTGTCCATAGAAAGATGACTGAGCGCAATTACGAGCTCCGGTCACATTACAGCTGAGCAGTGCCTGCTTTGTTCGCATCTCCTTCCGAACAGAATGACATCCAGGGTTTAGGCTCGCTCTCTTGCGTGTGTCGGTGAAGCACTGATAGCAGAGACGCCGCCCCCTGCTCAAGAGTGGAGGCTGGAACGCCATGATTTCCGAACTCTCGCACGGTTCACGGCTCGGCTTTTCCGACAGTTGGGCGCTGGCCCTGACTCATCGGGCATGGGGGAGCGCGTATCGGGAACGAGCCGAACAACGCGTGTGCGTGGGAAGGCAAGGTGTTGTTCTCGCTCAGCTCTCTCCACCTGCAGCTCGAGCTGGCTGAGTTGGATTTCCATGTGTGACTTTGAGATTTTGGGTTTGGTCGTGGGTTGCCTTCTGGCTACATCACATTGATCGCAAGGCAGGATCGGCTTGCTCTCAGCAAGTCACATCGGATCACGCCAAGAGCAAGCTGGCGCAAGACCAGTGTGCGGCCCTCTTTCTCCATCACAATCACGGCGACAATAGACGGCGTCGCTTCCGACCTTGCTTCATCTGCAGAATCACACTCGGCGGCTCATCCTTCTGGCCACGCCTCAGCTCGACTTTTGCCGCGATACGAGTGTCTCACGCTCCTGTGCGGCCCTCAGCTGGATAAGCTCAGCTATCGCGACCCACTTCCTCACTGCCTGACTGCAACATCACACCTGATCCATCGCCAAAATGGAGGCAATGCGACGCAAGCTCATCGAGGAGCAGTTGGCCGCGCTGGCGCAGTCACGGCGCGACCGAGACCAGGCTTCCCAGTCGAGCTCGACTCAGGCTGCTTCGACTTCATCTGCACCACACTCGAATCCTGCCATCACGTCTCTACCGCATCGCAACAAGCACGCTCCACCACCTAAAGTCAAACTCTATCAGCCTCCTCTCGTGCCCTTCGTCCCACCAAACATGGCTCAGTCGACTGGCACAGGCTCAGGCTCCCGCACAGATCCAATCGTCTTTGGAGAAGCGTCACCTATCGGCGCATCACGTCAACAAGGCTTTGTTCAGCCTTCCAAACCCACTCAGCCCGCTTCGAGCTCAAATATATACCCGCCTCCCACTCTTCCACGCCCACCTTCCGCTTCCACATCGAGCTACGCAGCTTCACAGCCTTTCCGCTCTCCCAACGCCAAGTCCTCGCAAGTGCCTTTCATCTCCCCCAAAAACACGCCGCCACCGCCCCTCAGAAATAACAATCCCTTCTACCAATCCCCTCTGGCGCAGCGCACGTCACCGTCCAAGTCCAGATATAGGGACACGCAATCACTCTACATGAGCGACGACTACCAGCCCGTACCGACTCTTTTCGGCCAGCAGCCCTTCTCCCAGCCCGAAGATGCAGCAATCGGTCCCTCGATCGATGTGGCCACACGCGAGAAGCAGATGAAGGATCTTTTCTCCAACATGGTCAACATCACCGAAGTCTCGGACGATGCCCAGACCAGCAACCAAATCCCAGGTCTCAAGTGCACGCTTCTACCGCATCAAGTTCAGGGAGTGACGTGGATGCGCGAGCGCGAGAAAGGCACCGCCAAAGGTGGCATCCTTGCCGACGACATGGGGCTCGGAAAGACGGTCCAAACGCTCGCCCTCATCGTCTCGAATCGACCGGGTCACGACATGTCAACCATCGATCTCGACGTACCATCAGAGGCCGAGGCCAGCAAGCGCGGCAAGAAGAAGGCTAACGCACAGCAGAACGGCGCTGATCCGACGAACTCAAAGGCACCCGAAGAGCTGCCTCGTCGCAGAATGGCCTCCAAGACGACCCTCATCGTTGCTCCGTTGGCCGTCATCAAACAGTGGGAGCGCGAGGTCAGCGACAAGACCGATGCTGGTCTCAAAGTCTATCTATACCACGGTCCGTCCCGCGCCAAGAAGGCGTCGCACTTCAATAAGTTCGACATCGTCATCACCACCTACACTACGATTGCGAGCGAATACGGCAACTTTCTCTCGAAGCTCGAAGCGGATGCCAAGGGAACCCACCCTGTCACGGCGACTTCGAAGTCCAAGAGCAAGAGCAAGGGTAAGTCCAAGACAGCCGCCTCAAGTTCTCGCTCCAACCATCGTTCTACGCAAGCAGACTCGGATGCCGATTCCGTGTCAGACTCGGCCGCCGTCGAGATCGATTCGCAAGATTCTGACGACTCCTTCGCAGGCCCGAGTCCATCTGCGAAAGCTATCAAGAAGGTCATGCCGACGCCACTCTTCGAATCCGTCTGGCTTCGCATCGTACTCGACGAAGCACAAAACATCAAGAATCACAAGGCAAAGTGCTCACGCGGCTGCTTCCTCCTCGCCTCCAGCGCAGTCTCGCGCTGGTGCCTCACCGGCACACCTCTGCAAAACGATGCCTACGAAATGTACTCGCTCATCCACTTTTTGCGCGTACCGCCCTTCGACGAGTTCCAGCATTTCAAGGAGAAGATCGGCGAGCCGCTCAAGTCGCTCAACCAGAACCGAGTCAACTGGGGCATGAAGCGTCTCTGCTTCGTGCTGCAGACCATCATGCTGCGACGCACCAAGGAGGCCAAGCTCGACAACGGCGATCGCATCATCAATCTGCCCGAGCGCAACCTCGAGTTGCTGGAGCTCGAGTTCGAGAGTCCTCAGGAGAAGGACTTCTACGTCAACTTGCAGGAGCGCATCAGGCAAGCCTTCGAAAAGGAAGAGGAGAAGCAGAGAGCGACGGGCAAGAAGGGCAACATGATCGCTTCGCTCGTCCTTCTGCTCCGGCTGCGTCAGGCCTGCAGCCATCCATCGATGGTCACGGGCAGTCTTGGCACAGACGCCGCTGCGATTGGATCGGCCGCCACTGCTTCGGAGTCCGCTCCGTCCTCGCAGCGAAGTGCAGCGAACTCCAGGGCTGCAGACGATGATGACGACGACGATGGCTTGGCTGCGATGCTGTCCGGTCTCAGTGTAAGGACACGATGCTGCGATCAGTGCAACGTCGAGTTTCCTGCAAATGAGCTGATGCCTGCCGAAGACGACTACAATCAGGCAGACGACCTCATGGCAGCAGTCAATCCAAATCTCGCCCAACGTCATCTCTGCGGTGAATGCATCGCCCTGGTCAACAACACTCCGCAGGACCTCTTTTCCTCCGCCTTTGGCTCCACCAAGATCCGCAAGATGCTCTCCCTCCTGTCCGCCATCCGCATTGCCGACAAGACCGAAAAGACGATCGTCTTCTCACAATTTACCTCTTTCCTCAACATTGTCGAGCCGCACCTCGATCGTCATGAGTTCCGCTACGTGCGCTACGACGGCTCGATGAAGCCGCAAGAACGCGAAATGGCGCTCGAAAGGATTCGCAAAGACCCCGCGATCACGGTCATCCTCATCTCGTTCAAGGCCGGCAGCACGGGTCTCAACCTGACCAGCTGCAGCAAGGTCATCTTGATGGACCTTTGGTGGAATCCGCAGATCGAGGAGCAGGCCTTCGATCGTGCTCACCGTCTCGGTCAGACGAGGGATGTGACCATCTACAAGCTCAGCATCAAGGACACGGTCGAAGAGAGGATCTTGGAGTTGCAAAAGAAGAAGAGAGAGTTGGCAAAGGCGGCCCTGGAGGGAGGCAAGCTTGTCAAGGGCAACCGCCTCGATTTCAAGGAGATCTGGTTCCTGTTCAACGGTACCGATCACTAGCTGCAGCACACCATGGCGACGACGAAACGAAAGAGAGACTATGCGAATGCGGTACACGAACTCGAGAAATGACGACCTTAGTGCGACCTTTTCAGACCTTCTTGAGCGCGACGGCATCGGCAAACGGTGCGAAAGCCGCAAAGTGCTCCAGGGGCGTATCGAGCGGGTTCTTGATCCTGAACGCAGGCTTACTGTGATAGTATGGATACCAAAACTTGTTGTATGTTGCGTACTCTGTGCCCAACAGATCCTCCGGTCCCCCTTTCCCCCTGTTCTGCAGGTGGGCAAGTGCCTCGGGGGGCACCTTTTGACTCTGAAGTTCGTCGTGGATAGCATTTTCGAGGACAACAGCGCCGTTCCGATCCCTCAGCATCTGGCCTAGGTACTGTATGGGATGCAGTGCGTCGTGCGTCCCCCTCTCGACGTTTCTGTAAGCACCCCGGCGATGAGCTTCATACACGTCACGCGAGTGGCCGGTCAGCGCGGGCGGGAGCATGCCGGCCAACTGCTTCCAAGCGTTGACGCGCTTCTGGGTTCCCGTCAGCGCGACGCTCTCGAGCGGAGGCGGAGGGTCTTTTGCGTCGTAGAGAAAGGACGGTGAGGCAGTGGAGATCTCGCCGCCCATGAGCGCGCCGAAGGGAGTGACGACGCGGGCGGGACGGGAAGCGTCCACCCGATGCGACGCTGCCCACTGAATTCGAGTGGACAGCTGAGCGGTCCATTCGTGCGAGGAAAGCGCCGTGCGAGCGGTGGAGAAATGGACGTGGTCGGCGGGGTAACGGTCCGACAGCCGGGTCACGCCGTGCAGATTGATGCTCGGGAGCGACGCTCGGACGGACCACTGGCGGTAGGGCGCGATCCAACGGGCTGGCTCGGGAGTGTGTGGCGTACGAGGTGAGGGAGGAGTGCGGACGTCTCGCCACTCGTTCAGAGACGTTCCTGGCGATAAGCGATCATGGCTAGAAGGCGAAGAGGACGGCGAGCCTCGGTGACGAGCCAGCGCCTCCAGTCGCTCCGCAGCTTGGTCGAGCGCCCATCTCGTGGGACTGCCCGGTCGGATACGATCTTGGTCCAAGTACACGGGAAGTGGAGGGGCTGAGGGCGGAGGCGACCAATCGTGTACGCTCGAATGAAGAGGAGCCTCGTTGACCCTCGACCTCTCGCGCCTCGGCGGGAAGCCGAACGGCTTCGTGCGACTACCGTCACCGGTATCATCCCATTTTCTCACCGCCCCTTTTCCCTTCTGCAGCCCGTAATCTCTGCTCAACGAGTCAGGGGGGAGGACATCGGAGTCGGTATGGGAGTATGAGTCAAGATGAGGAGGAGGGAGTTCAGTAGGATGATGTAGAGGAGACTCGACGTAGCGCCATGCCCCACCGGCGCGCGATTGCTCGGCTCGACCCTGCAGCCAGGCGAGGCGGGAGGCGAGGGGGTCTTCGTCCGCGTAGACCACGCGGGATGGCGTACCGCTAGTGCCGGTCGTGAGAGGTGGAGTGCCAGGCGTGGAGGGAAGCGTGGCTGGAGTGGCCGTGTCGTAAGGTGTGTCTGCTGCGCCAACAGACACGGCGACGAGGAGGGGAAGGAGGAGGGTGAGCGTGAGAGAAGGAGAGAGAGGATGGGCGAGCATCGTGAGAATGGAGTGGTGATGACGGAGAAAGAGGATGAGAGAGTAAGGAAAGGGAATGGGGAGGTGAGAGGTGCACAGACGTATGGTGGGTGGCGAGGCGGTATGAAGTGTTTGCTTGACACCCACCAAGCCACGCCACCTGGTCGAGGGTCGGCTTGACAGCTCATCTCGGTCTTTTGCATCGCTCTCACTCACTCGGACGGACCACTGAACCATCTTATCTTGGTCGAGACCGTGCTCAGTCGCTCGGCCAAGGCAGATGATGTCCTCAGTCCTGTCCGACAAAGCTTCGCAGAGAGGCAAAAGTCGCGTTCACGTGTCGACACGCTTGCGTCCCTCACGACGTCGCTGGCAATCAATCCTACTCCAACCCTTTCCGAGCACCACTGCGTGTGTGCTCAACGCCCTGTCATCTCATCCAGCCGCGTGAGCTTGCTGCTGCGAAATGAAAGGGACTTGTGTCGAACGGTAACAGGCCAAGCGTGAGGAGCAGCATGAACTGGACGCGGCCTTTTTTTGGTCCGCCTTTCTGGGCCTCCTCGTTTGCGAACCCTTTTCGATGTTCCAAAAAACGCGCCCGTCGCGCTCAGACCAAATTTCGGAAGCGTGTTTGTTCCCCGCATTTGGACGTCACGCTTTCACGCCTTCCCTTTCGCATCCTTCCATCCCTTCCTACCACAACAACGACACGAATCCCAACACGCTGCACTGCTCACCTCTTGAGATTGCTCACAGGTCATCCACCTGACATCGACCACACGCCAAACACCTCACTGGACTGGTGCGAATCACCAACGCACCTGGAGAGCTGGCACGAAACATGTCCACCTCGACCCTGGGCTCGGTGTCCGCGCGCATTCTTCACCCGACGTCCTTCCACCCGACCCTCTCGCTCTCCCTCACCCCCTCGCTGCCGTCCTCGTTGGATGCGTCGACCTGCGAAGCGGGCGTGCTGGTTCACCTGCCAAGTGGGATGTTCTACGACCCGCACTTGGGGAAGAAAGGTGCCGTGCTGACGGGCAATGGCGATGGGAGGGTTGAACTGGAGGGTGCGGTAGGCTGGTCCTCCCGCGCATCACGTTCGACCGATCGGCAGTGGTGGGAGCGAGACGAGCCTTCCCAAGAACAAGGAGGTGGGGGAATGGGTGGGTTGGATATGACCGACATTTTGAACGCTGCATTGCAACGCAAGGTTCAGGAGGTCAAGGCAGCCGAGCCGATCAAAGTTAGTGTGGATGGGGATAATCGCGCGCGTGTTCGATCGAGAACGCCACCAAAGGAGAAGAAACAGGATTTCAGAGGGGAGCGAACGACAGTCGTGCTGCCCTTGGACGTGGACGAGCTGTTGAAGGGTGATGGGGTCAGGGTGAATGTGCCGTTGGGGGTGCGATACCATCCGCCGTTGGAAGCCAAGGTAGGCGCGGAACTGCCGGCTATCGGAGGCCCAGCAAGCGCCTTGTTGGAAGACATCACCCCGCACTTTGCCAGAACCCTCTACGCGCAAGCCAGGTCAACGGTAGGCAAGATCCTCGGTAGCAACTCCACCACCACTTCTGCGGGCAAGAAGAACGATCACCTTATTATCACCCTTCCCCCACCAGTCATCTTCCTCTCCTGCCCTGGAACTCCGGCAAGGGTGCAATTCCCACCATCGCACACCCACCTTCAAGAGCAGTTCACGGGCAACGTCGTGGCACAGTCAAAGGCAACGGGCCATCTCAAGGTCAAAGTTCCCGTGCCGAGAGCGGTGTTGTTGGCACCGGTGCAGGTGGGAACGTTGGCGTTTGTCGTGGCAAGTGCGATGTTGATCGTTGTGCATTTGCTCGGGAACGTGATCCCAGCGCTGGAGAGTGTCGAGCGACTGATGTAATGATACGATGCTGTGTGTTATGCTTTTGAGATTGTGCTGTGTGTGGATAGAAGCCTATGCAGTGTCCGGTGTGGCGAGCTTCCTAGCTTCTTCTTTGCGACGCCGGTGAGCGGCCATGTCCCGCTCGACCTCTCGCTCTGTCTCCTCGTCCTCCCTCTCCTGTCTCTCCCGCTCTTCCGCTTCTGCTTTGGCGGAGATCTCCTCGAACCGACCGGAGTCGTGTGCCGCCTCCATCGGGTGTCGCGCCTGAATCACGCCTGTGCGATTCATCCGGTCGAACAGGACGAACAGTCGCTCAGCCTCGGCTTCCTTTTCTTCTTCGGTCATGCGGCTCATCTCGTCCATCGCACGCTCCGTATCGGTCGGCTCGTATTCGCCGGTGATCGGGTCGACGGCACGTCCGTTTCCATTCGCCTGCGCGGCACTGCCCGTAGGGAGAGCAGACGCAAGACCCGTATTCATAAGGAAGCCCGCACACGGACCATAGCCGATCGTGTCGGTCATCTGTTTCGCCTCGCCGTTGCAGAGCGCCAGAAGGAGCTCGCCGGACGCGCGCGCGGTGCGCGGGAGCGTGACGGACGACATGAGCCGAATGAGCCGCCCAAGAACGTCAAGTCGCCGGTCGAGGGCCAGGCTGCGGTCGAGGTCGTTTGGGAGGAGGATGGTGCGCAGGATCGAGCGAAGGTCGTCGTCTTCCGCAGCGGTCTTGCGGAGGAGCAGGAGGAGAGGCTCGAGCGTGTCTTCCAGCTCAATGGCGTTCGCGGTGGCTTTTTGTTTGATGGATCTGGCGTCGACGTCTTCGGGCACGCGTCGGCCGTCTGAGACGGGTAGAGGGGCAGAGAAGTAGCGCGCTAGCATGAGGTCGACGAAGGTGATGAGGCGGCTGAGATAGAGGGGGGCGGATTGGAGGGCTGGTGTTGACGAGGGCGAGATGGGAGCAGTGAGGGTGGGGAAAGTGCTGGAACCTGTGGCCCTGTCTGCCAGAATCTCCTTCTTGACCTCGGCAGCAGGGTAGTTGAGCAGTGCAGCAATGGCGTGTGTCGCAGGCGGCGTCAATGGTACTGGTGATGAAAGCGGAAGTGCGGTGATGACAGACACGAGCGGTGACAGCATGTCCAGTAGCTTTGCATCGAATCCTTCGCCCGAGATCGCTTGGTCCGCACCGGCAGGTTCCGCCGAGGCTGCGGCTTGTGTTGACCCTCCCTCCTTTGCCTCAGCATTGACGATGCGCGGATAGTAAAGGCAAATGTTGAAGTGCGCCTTGAGGAGATCAGAGAGTGCGGTACTGAACTGTGCCGCACTTCCGCTCGCTATCAGGACGCAAGAAGCAGCGTTCTTGTTGGCCGCTTTTCCGAGCGTAGCTTGGACGAGGGCATCGACACAAGCTGCTTCGATGCGCACGACGTCTAATGTGGTGACAGCAGTCTTGTTGAAGGGCGACTCGAAGAGTGTGCTGAAGAACAAGAGACGAGCACCGAGAAAGAGGATATCGGCGGGCGTATCTTGAGGTTGAGAGAGCAGTGCGACCGCCGCATGTCCACCGCCGATCTCATCGCTGGAGAAGGGGAGCCGCGCATCTTCGTTGAGGAAGAGGGCGTTATTGAGACAGCGCAAGGCCATGTCGGTGATGGGCCAGTCGGGGTCTGCGGCCGCGCCGTACTCTTCACTGCTGCTGTCTGAAGACGGCATGTCCTTGTCCTTCGATCCGCGACGTTCGGAACGGTGAGAGCCGCGCCTGCTGACGGCACGTCGTAACGACTTTGCTATGGAACTGAAGGTATGAGCCGCGCTTGAGGCAGAGAAGCTGGATGTGGTCGAGCTGGATGATGCCGTCGAGATGCGATGCTTATGCCTCTTGACCGAGGTCGGAGGTGATCTCCGCACACGCTGTCTGGGAAAGTCGATCTGCTGCAAGAGGATGCGCAGCGATTCTGGCTTGGCCATGGGCGTGCTACCACCAGGCAAGCGACTGAGCTCCTTGAGCAGCTTCAAGGCCGAGAGTCGTATAGCAGAGTTCCACTTGACATTGCTTCTAGCATTGAGAAGAAGGTCGCCCTCGCGCGTTCCTGATGCGGCACCGATGTCTGTGAGCACCGCAGTCGCCAGCTTGGTGCGTATCGAGTCGCTAACCGAACCGAGCACGGGGAGACCGCCGGCGAGGAGAGTGTCGAGCCATTGATGTGCTTGCGTGGGCGAGTCGACCCGCGTCGAAGATGGAAGCGAGAGATACTCGCGGATGGTGTCGGACATGTTTGCCGGTGAGGGTGCGATCGGTGTCTTGATCCAGCAAGCTTCGATGTCCCTTGATATGATGCGTCGAAGGGTCCAGGCGATCCTGGTTATCCGGAGCGATGTCAAAGTGACATGCCAGCCTTTTGTAGCGGATTGAGAGGAGAAGCTGTTTGAGGTGGCTGAAAGAAGGGACGATGACTGAAAGGGGTCAAAGCTGACTGCAAGAGGCGCCGTTGTGGCTTTGTAATGGCGACGTCCCACTTTATGTGGTGGACGAGCTGTGACAAAGGGCAAGGCCGCTCAATTCAAACGCCGATCGAGTCCTCGTTACGCCTTTTTTTGGAAGCTCAAGCGACGACTCGCCCACCTTTGCCGCCTTTGACCCACTCGATGTGTCACTCAATGGGATGAGGCGCCGAGCTCGTAAAGCGGACCGTGCTGTGCAGCAAGTCGACATGCTGCTGATGACTGTCATGACATCTCACAAGCACTGGTTTGGTGGATGGCTGAATAGCGGATCAAAGGGCTCACATCGGATAAAAGGCCGAAAATGAGGATCGTCTTCGCTTACAGAGTGGGACTCAAGGGGCAGAGCATTGAATGCGGACGTCGGCTTGCCCAGAGCCGTGGCTGCATTGCAGCTTGTCTTTGTGCGTGCTCATGCTGCCGCTGTTGAGAGGTCAGCTCGCTGCATGCATGAACTTAAAGCCACTTGGTGTCCTGTCTTTTCTCGGCCTCGAAGACACGAGTGAGCGGAATAGAGGTGAGAGACGGAGGCTGAGGCTGTTGGAAGAGCCGATTGAATCAGCGGACGTGGTGATCTCTTCGGCCCCTTCCGATCCATGCTTTCAAGATGATCGATCGATCGATCGCCCGTCAAGCATGCCAATGCGAAGAGGCTTGGGATCCCGCGACGTGCTCATCGCAGCGGTCGCCATGCCGACGGAAAGTGCACTTGTCCCGCTCAGCCTTAAATGCAAAGCTGAAAGGGAACCGCCATCAAGAGGTCCAAGCTCGACATCGTGCATCGGAGGCGCCATTGGCAGCATCAAGGATAGCAGCCAGCTGAGCCTGAGAGGCTCTCTCTTCCTCTCTCTTGTCTACGACGCGTTGCTCGCTGCAACAAACACGACCCAAAGCCTCCACCTTGCGCTCTGCAAAATCATGCATACCGAGAGCAACACAGACAGGTCCGGTGCCTGTGTGCTGTCTTGCTAAAGAAGCACAAAAGATAAGGGCGCACAGCGCGGTCCTGCTCAAGAGCCAAGACGCTACCAAATTTCAATTCAAAACACTGAGAACGCAGGGCTCAGCCAGGGTTCAGCTCAGGGGCCGCTGGAAAACAGACCAAAAAAAAAAAA